AACATGCCGAAAAATGTTATTTTCTTCCGTCTTCAATATTAAAACAAAAGTCAAAATAAGCGAATTGACAAATTGAAAAATGCCTCTAGATACCACAATACAATCAAAAGCTCCCACAGTAAAATCAAAAGCAAACATTTTATTAACGAACTTATCCTATAATGGAAACTACAAAACCAGAAGATACTTCTTGTCCAGTCTAAGAAAAGAGTTATGCTCTATGAATAAATTTCATTTTTTCTTTAAAGGCGTGTTTATTTAATTTTTTTTTTTTTTTTACTGTGTTGTCTGAAAAATAAGTTCCTATGGCTTAAACTAAGCATTATAACTATCCATTAGCTTAAACTAAACATGAAATTGTAAGAGAAAACTACGAAAAATCAGTAACGGAAATTTTACATCAAAAGCCGGATCAGCAGTTAAAAAAATACTTTTCGTCATTTGAGAGAACAATACAAACCACCTGTTGTTTTTCTGAAACGTGTGTCCGTCATAAAATATCTTAAGTTAATGATATTGAAATGTTAGACAGCTGGTTCTGCTTCGTGGCTGGGATAGTTGCGTATGCAAACACATTGTCAGAAGTCAGTGCTTGAGTTTGGATAAAAAAAAGGCAAGATTTTAAAATATAAATTTCAAGTCCAGAAAACCGTCTCCATTTGAAAGATTGACACAACACAATCTTTCTTGTTTTGCAAAAACAAGGACCTTACCAGAGAATTCCAATTCCCACAACTTCATTGGTATTTTGAAAATTTTCATAGTTGATAGAACTAAAACGTGCACGACATAAGAAAATAGAGATTATATGAAATATAAAAATTGTTAAACTATTTACTTAGCAATTCAAGTTTCACTCTGTAGTTGTCAGGCCAGGATTTTCTAAGTCAGTCGTAATTGATCTATCAAGACTAGCGTGCTAACCATGACATCACATCGAATTGCTCCCAGGATTATATGTTTGTGTGTGCGATATAATGGAATTTTATTACCATATATGTATATGCACATAGATACATACGCACACACACATATGTATATGCACACAGATACATACGCACACACACATATGTATATGCACACAGATACATACGCACACACACATATGTATATGCACACAGATACATACATATACACACACACATAGATACATACGTATACGCACACACACACACGTATATACACACAGATACATATACACACACACATATGTATATACACATAGATACATACATATACACACACATATACACACACATATGTATATACACATAGATACATATATACACACACATATGTGTATACACATAGATACATACATATACACACACACATGTGTATACACATAGATACATACATATACACACACATATGTGTATATGTATATATATATATATATATATATATATATATATATATATGAGTGTATCAAAAATACTTTTACAAACTTTGGGGTGAGTTCTTCACACCAAAACAAGAACAAAAGTCCTTATTAACATATGTCCACAAATCCTTTGTTTTTGATTTTACTGTAGACATTTAATGCACAATCCAAAAATAACTATTACAAACTTTGGTGGCAAATTCCTGATATCAAAACAAGGTAAAATGTCCATATAAACACTTGTCCAAAAGGCCATCATTGTACGTCAACATGGCAATTCATAACAAATGTTCAAAATGTCTTTCACTTGCTTCTACACATGTATGCACTCATCGAATCATTGATTGACAGACCATTTCAAATACTTCCACACAGTGTTGAATGGTCTCACAGGCCCCCATGACACATTGATGAAGTGTCTGTCTCCACATTATTAATGTCTGCTGCATAAATCAATAATTTTAGGTGGCAACACAAATAAAAATCCAAAGGATTGAGGTTATGGGAATGTGTAGCCCTTGAAACCAGTCCTCTCCTACTTATCCATCTTTCGTAGTAGATATAAGTCTGTGCATTGTAAACAATGTGACTAAAATATGATGGAGCTCCATCATGTATGAACTACATGCATTTTCTTGAAATGTGTTCAAAATAAAGTCCATATAAAAACAGCTCCTGTAAGACATGCTAGAAGAACAAATGGATCTAACAGTCACCTACAATTCCAGCCCACACATTAATCGTAAATTGATGCTGATGAAAAGATAAAAGATTAAATTTAATTTGTTTTTTTGCACTTTTTCTGATGAAAAACATATTAATTTGGAAATTCTTTCAAAAATCAAATAATTGTAGGATTTTAATCAAACTTTCAGGACATATTCAGAAATGAATGAAATTTTTTTTTTTTTTTTTTTAGAAAATCTTGGTAAAAATACTTTTTTTTACTTGTTACCACTCACTTAATTTCATGAAATTTTGAGAAATTAAATTTTTAGGGCAGGGTTTATTTTTTTTTTTTAGTTAAAAGCAGGACTCCTTGAAGAAAGTAAATCATCATTTTTTTTTTCTCACTGAAAATCTGCATTGAATTGTAAAATAAAAAATGCAATAAAACTATGAAATTATTTAATTAGAAAAACTTTTAATTGTTTTGATAAATAAGATTTATTAAGAACCCTATTGTCTTAAGAAAAAAAATTTTTTTGGTGAATAATTAATTTTTACAAAAATTGTTTTCATTTTTTAAATTTTAATTAAACAATTTATAATATTAAAAAAACATTTCAAAATTTTCATTGCTTTCAAGGTGCTTGTTGCTGATATTGTTAAGTGAAAATTAATTTTACGAATCAAAAATTGAAAAGCTTATAACAATCGTTTGAGCCAACATATTTTTAAAAGAATTTAAAAAAATAATTTTTCGTGTATAGAGCATTCCCAATTTCTACCTATGGGAAGCTATACACGACATAATCCTTAAAAAGGTCATGTGTTTTAAGTGTCATTTGACACTTTCCTTATTCAGTTGTTTCATCATTAATGTCTTTACAAATCATCCCTTCAAAATTTCAAAAGTACTATAAAAATTTAATAATAGAATAACCATCATGAAAACAATTAATAATAAATAAAATACAGTAACATTTCATAAATTATTAATTTTTTACTTCTATCATGGAATTTTATATCGTTATTAAATTTAAAATTAATCTAAGAAAATTTTGTATTATTTAAATTCTATTATTTTTCGTAAAGCATCTTCAAACATAACTAAAAGTCAATAAAATATTAGATAATTGCTGAAATTAATTAATGTTAATTTGTAAAAATTACTAGGTAGTTAGATATTTTTGTTTTGTTTGAATTTCCAATCTATATTTTATTTAAAATACACCAGAATATTTTGATTACTGGAAATAGTAAATTTAATCATTTAGTTTTTAATTAAAACTAAAATGAAATCTTCAAGCATGTTTTTCATTTTTAAAAATTAATTTTAAACTTTAGGTATCGAAAATTCCTTCGAGGTCTCTACATATATATATATATATATATACATTTAAATATACATAAATATATATATGCATAAATAAATATAAATATATATATGTATAAATAAATACATATAATACATAAGGCAATAAAGCCACTAAGATGCAAGGGGTTAGTGAATCTGACAGAATATGAAAAAAAGGAAAACATTATTAATGAGAGAGAAGTATAACACAATGGGAATTAAGTTAACAATTGGCATTGCATTTAAAATTTTTAAGATCAAAATTGACTGAAAAACAAGAGTCTGGAAGAGATTTCCACAAGTGAGAAGTGCGAGAGAAGAAACTGTTATCATAGAACTTACGGTTATATCTAGCCATTTAAACCTGGCTGACAATCAGAATAGTAAATAAATTACCAAAGTGAAGAAAGTTGACTCAGTCTTGCCATTAGTCATTCCAAAAGTAGCATTATATATTTGGTAACAGAATAATAAGAACCTCATTCAAATTTAACAAAGTTCAGGAGTCAATAACAATCATCTTCAGCAATGACAAAAGCATACTATGAAATTAATTATTTTATTCATTTTTGAAAGAATAATAAATTCTGTACAAAAAAATAAATTCATTTAAATCAAAGTCCTATTGAAAGTGTTGCATTGAGACAGATTTATCACAGGAAGTTTTTTTTCTGTTATTTTTTTTTTAATCCCTTCTCTAATATTGCTTACTCATGAGGTGGGAGCTGTGATAAAAAAAATATAAAATATGGATCTAAATAAAGAAATGAAAGTCATAATAATAATTGACAATGCTTCATCTAATAATCACAAATAATATTACAGGTAATACAACTAGTGTCTACAATTAGGAAGATGATGGTTAAAGAAAGAATAAAAGACATGGTTAGATTTAAATTACTGTAACCAGTTGAGCTTTGTAGCCTAATTGGAAAGGCAGAATAAGTGAATTTTATCAGAGGCTTATGATCTAAGTTCAACTCTTTCTGCTTATTAAATCAAGAATGATGATCCAATAGTTGTGATAAAAAGCTGATGAAATTAAGATACAAGTCAAAAATTTAATAAGTCACTCATCACTGAGCTATTTTGGAATATGTTGGGAATTGTGATAAACAGATTGTTCATAATAATCATAAATACATATTTTGATTAGAGGAATGTTTTTGTTTAGCATTTTGCACTATTTATGAGTTTTCTTTCCCCTATCACTGTATTCTTTTTCAAAGCTCCTCAGCTACAGTAGCTGGTTACAATCAATATCATTTTCTGTTGCCATAGCAGGATATGACAACACAACTGTGTAATTCAAACATTATTGTTCAACAATCAAAGTCACCTGCAGTGACAAGACAAACTTTTTGCTCAGTGAACAAAGATACCTCCAGAGTGTAAAGGTTAAAATACAATTTTAGTGTTCCTGTGAAAGTCCAACCCTCTCAAATGGAATGTACAGTTATCCTGTTATGGTTAAAGATTGTTATGAGAGTCTGTTAAATCTAATTAGAGAATAAAATATTAGCATACCCACCCAAATATCATCCCAAAACTTACATTGCATTAAATAAATTATACTACTGGGATTTAAATTTGGTTTTATCTCAGTTTGAACAAAAATTCTCTTGATTCCTTTTTCTTAGGATTATTTGAGATTTTTTTATGATTGTTAGATGAGAGAGAAAACAAAAAGAGAAAAAGCATTTGAAACAGAGAGAGTTCAAAAGGAGAGAAAGAAGAAGAATTGCTAGCAGTATTATCATTCATAGATTCTATAAATAGCAGAAAAATATTTAATGTCATCTAAAAACAAACCACCAATTTATATTTAATATTAATGCCTCAGTTCTATGATAGTTGCGATATTTATTAAGGAGAGCAATTGGCTCATTAAAATGATGCATTGAAAATAAAAAGATATTTTCAAGGTAATAAATTCAACTAGTAATTTGTCTTCAAGACAATGCTAATTCATTTTTTGCAATTTCAACATAACAAACAATTACAGATTGGAATGGGGAATTCTTCCAAATATAGCATATTCTTTAGCCCAACCACTTTTAGACAAATAAGGTATTTAATGACATATGAACAAGACCATTCATATTACTTCAATTGTTGTTGTTATTGGATACCTATGTTTGAAATAGGTGTCTCATTTCTTTTTTAATTTTAAACCGTGTGTATTACGTTTCTTGTCATGCACATTTGAGAAAATGTGCTCTCCAGCAGGACTTGAACCTGCATCTCCCTTTGTCTGATCTGGTATGCTTTAGACTACTGGATTAAATGGTGCTGGAGAACACATTTTCTTTATTAAGTTCTCCAGAGTGCACAGACCAACAGATGTGATACCCAATGTTTCAAATAAAAAAGAAATGGGGTGTCTATTTCAAACACAGGTATCTACTAAAAATAATGTTAGAAGTAATAAAAAGACCATTTTTATATTTATAAAAATAATTTTGCATATAAGATAGTTTAATAATAAAAAGTTAGAGAGTTTTAATATTAGGTGTTAAGCTACATAAAAGTAATGGTAGTCTACTGTATCTGGATCCCTCAATCTCACATATAAGACCCAGGTATAAATTTCTATCATTTTTTGAGGAAATAAAGGTGACTGAGTTTTTATATGCCATAAAATATGTAATAAGAAATAAATATCAAAAGATTAAATTTTTTTAATTTAATTTTTTTTTTTTAATTAAAAAAGATCCTTTTTCATTTTTAAAGACTCTTGATAAAATCTAAAGAAATCTGTAGATGGTTTCCTAAAACATTCAACTTAATATTTTTATTTTGTCAAAGCTGATCAGGTTTGTAAAGATTTCAATCTTGAAAGATCACCGGCTCTCTATTTTTTTTTTTATTTTTTTATTTCTTCTTCTTTCATTCATTTGATTGAAAAGCCAGAAAAATGGCAGAAAATAATCACAATCTTCATTTTGGAATCTTTAATGATGATGCTTAGAGTCGAGCAGAATTTATGAAAAGTTTTGACAACTTCTTGCAGAGGTCTATACTGCCAGTTATTTTTAACTGTCCAGAAATAAAAGCCTGAAATGAAAAAAAAAGAATTATAAAGCAAGATTAAGTTGGTTAATTGAACAACATATCAACCATTGTTGGGTCATTTTACGAATAAAAATTCTATAGGACTAAAATCAAAATGTATTAATAAAAATATAGACATAAGTTCTGTTTAAACTAGAATAAAAACAGAATTCAGTATAAACTACAGTAAAAAAAATTCAGAGTTCCAGTTTGAACGAGAGTCAAAAATGCAGACTGAGGTCCAGTTGGTATACAAATCTGTGAGTATCCACCCAGAAGGTGGCTCTTTTGGGGTGGTGCTGGGGTTAGCATTATTCTTTTGCAGGGGATGGAGTCAGCATATTCTTAGCCTCATTGACAAGGCAGGATATAGAACAAGGATAAAGAAATCAGTAAAAAAGAAAAAGAAAAGATAAACACATTTCTCCTCAAAATAAATAAAAAAATTAAATAATTTTATTTTCTTGCATGGTTATATTGTTTTTATAAAAAAAAAATAATTTCAGTGAAAATTGGACAATAGTTTTTTTTTTTTTTTTTTTTATTCATTTCACCCCAAGCAAGGTAATAAGGACACAAAGATACAAGGGGTCACTGAGTGTGTGAGAATATGAGAAAAAAAAGAACATCATTAAGGAGAGAAAACAATAGAAGAATAGGAATTATGAAGAAATAAGATAACAATTGACATTGCTTTTAAATTTTTGAAGATCAAAGTTGACTGGGAAGCAAGAAGCCAGAAAAGAGTTCCACAAGCAAGAAGTGTGAGAAAAAGAAACTGTTAGCATAGAACATGTGGTTACATCTAGCCATTTCAATATTAAAATGATGAGACTTTGCTGTCAATCTTGTACTGCACTTAAATTCATAATGTCTAGGTATCATAAAACAAAGTTCATCAGAACAATTACCATGAAAGTATTTATAGAAAATGCAGAGGGAAGCTATGTTAAGTCAATATGCCAGATTTCTTTAGATTTTATCAAGAGTCTTTAAATATATAGCAAGAGAACAAGACTAGATGTGGCAGAAATATTCAAAGCAAGGATGACTGATAGACTTATAAATATGTAAGATTCTGTTGAGAAAAATTGTCTGACACAACACAGGGAACCAAATTCCCTAGCCACCTACCTAGCAATTGATTCAATATAATCTTTACACCTTGTATTAAATATTCTCTAAATTATATATCTGCTAATTAATGGTAAAAGCTCTTCACTATGAATTGAGCACTCTGGTAGCTGGTAATGCTTATATCTCATATATAATGTGTTAAAAATTCCCTTTCTCCATTGTATGCACTGATGGGCTAAAGCTGAGATTCTCTGACTGATGTCAAATAGGTCGGGTTTCAATCCCAGCTTGAAGCAATTGCATATCTTGCCACACTGATAAGTCTCAAGTGCATGTCATTATCAGAGTCTCTGTAAAGGATCGTCGAGTTAACTCAATGACATTGTCAGACTATTTTTCCCTGACTGACGCTTCTTTTGCTTAAAGGTGAAAACTTGTAGGATATCAGTGGAAAGAGTGTTGGCTTTTATGACATGTTCATTCCATTTTGATTTTCTCTTCTTGCTGGTGGTTACGAGGTCTTCCAATGGACCAGTTTCTTGTCTGATGGGATCTTACACTGCATCATTTGTAAATGTGGTCTACTTAGGAGATGCCTACGAAAGTTCTGTAGCATCTCATTTCTAATGCTTGGATTCTTTGTCATAATTCTGCTGTTAATGTTTCTGATGTTCTGGCCTTTCCAGAAGGTTGTTAGCCATCGATAGGTGCCATGCTGCTCTTAAAGTTTTTTCTTTTCTAGAGCATTGAATTTTCCCCTACAACCAGAGAACATACCTAAAGAAAGGGAGTAGAAGTAAAGTAAGTGGGCAACAATAAGACAAGCTGAATTATTGTTCTATTTATTTACCCTACTGCTTGAATGTGTTGCTCGGTGAGATGCAATAAAAAATAATAACACTATTTATTTATTAGATTATTAATTTACTCCATTATATTGTTTACTGAAATGGTTGGCAAAACATCAGTTAATTACTTAATAACTCAAATTTTATAAAATGGTAAATAAGGATTTACTTATAGTTCGTTCACATATTTTAATAATTTAGTATGTTTATAAATGTATGAAAAAAATTGTTTTCATATTTATTTCTTTATAAATTGGTAAATAGAGATATTTTTAGATTTCTTTTTCATGAGATAATTATGATTTAGTGATACTAATTAGTCTTACTAATTAACCTATAGATTGTGGGAGGGAGAAGAGGTGGATTCATATCTAACCAGAATTTGATAAACAAACAAGAAATTATAATGTGGATATAAAATAGAGGATCAATTCTATGTTACAATCAATATATAAAAGGATCCCTCTCTTTGTGGTCACGGTAGATTCTATATATTTATATTCCAGAGAATGTAAATAAAACTAAGACATGCCTGTGTAGCTAATCAGTATTTGATTGAGTGATTGGTTGGTTGGTTTTCTGCAGGTTATTTAAAGCCAGAAAATATTTTTTAGATTGTAAGAATATATTTTGGTGATAATAATGGTTTACAAGTTTTACTAATTTCTTCTTTTAATTTCTTCTGCTTAATCAGTCGATTGATTGATTGATTCATTTTTTACGGCTTATCAACCCTTTGCAGGTTATTTAAAGCCAGAAAATATTCTTAGACTAGCTTAAAGGCCACCCTATTTAAGCTTAACTATCAAAAGTACAACAATAATTCTTCTGCCACCACTTAATTTAAAGACAATTTGATGTACGTAGGTCCTTACTTTCTGTACAAACAATTACTTTTTTTTCATGAGTGACTTTCACAATTAATTTTGATTATTCCCAAATTATAAAAATTGTCATCGTACAAAAAAAATTTATCAGAAGAAATCACATAAAAAAATAAAAAATATCGCCAAAAACAATTGCAGTAATGAAAAATGGGAGAATCCAAAAATTTCAGGATTGCAGGCCCAGATCCAGTCTGGAATGTTTTTAATTTGCTCCGAGAGTCAGCCTGATTCCAAAATCATATGATATGTTGGACTATGGCCTCTAGGATTAAAGTTGAAAAACGTGTGACACAGTGACACACTGACATTCACATTCATTATATAGCTCGTAAGAATTGGGGCTGGGGGAATAGTAATGGTTTAGTGATAAAAGTCTTACTAATTAGCACATGGCTGAAGATGAGAAAAGGTGGACTCATACCTTTTCCAAGGTGATTTGTGCATAAGTGAATATAATAAACCCAACAGGAATTGGAACTCGATTCTCCAATTAAAAATCCTGGGTGATTACAATTATCCATTACATAACCTGCACATTCAAGCTTACAGAACCTGGCATTCCCAAGTGGTCACTCATGTTGGTACTGACGAGGCTCAATGTTGCTTAACTTCAGTGATAATACAGGGAACCAATGTTTCAACGTGATGCGGTTGTAAGCCCTGAAGATGCAAGGTCAGGTGAGTACAGCAGGTGTAGTACAACATCCCAGCCAAGTTGTACCAATTTCTGCTGGGTGTCTGCAAAGAGACATGGGGTCTGGAATAGCCCTGATAGAAGACAACAGCCTTCCAATTGACCAATTCAGGACACTTTTCATTGGTTGTTGCCTTTAATTGGTCCAATCAGATTTAGCAAAAGAAGTTTGTCATACACAATACCTTTCCAGTCCTACCAGATACACAGCATCAGCTTCTTTGGATGCTGACTGGCTTTTGTAGTGGTTAGTGGTGGCTCATTTTATTTCCCTCACCAGAACCTTTTTCACTCCACATTGTTGTAAACAATTCACTTTTTATTGCCAGTGATCATTCTTTTCAAAAATGGATAATTTTTGTTGTGTTTGAGGAGGGAATCACAGATGGAAATGCAGTTCATTGAATCACCACCCCATGACCTTTAAATAATGAGGCAGCCAAATATCAGAGTAATTAATGTGTTCAAGTTTTTTTTAAATGTGTTAAAACACTCATACAAGATATGTGGAGTATCTGTGCCCTGTTCTATGTCATGTGACTGGGATTATTTCAAATAGGCATTTTGATTTGGTCATTATCAATAATTGGCAGGCCTGCTGGAATGCTGTCAGTCTTCTAGATTAAAATTTCCACTTCTGAACCTAGTTAGCCATTTTCAAACAGTACTTTCAGCTATGGAACCATTGCCATAAATGGCACATATCTTTTTCTGGGGAGGGGGTTATGGTGGTGTAATGGACAGCAGCTTTGATTGAAGAATTGGATAGCCATTTTGGAATTCCAATCAAGTTTGTTACATTTACTTATGTGCAAATACCCTTGGGAAAGGTATGAATCCATCTCTTCCCGCCCAGCTATGAATATATAGGAAGACAGACTGGGTTCTTTTGTCTTGGGTGGCAACAGGTCTAGGAGAACGACAACTCTGAATTCCAAACCTGAGTAGTTGGCAACTAAACCGGTTCCCCCACAAGACAAGGGTCTGGTGAGGATTTAAGGGGAACCCCAGCAATACAAAAAACAAGAGCTGTTAAAATGCAAATGAACTCCTCACAGTTCCCCAACTATGGGTTAAATACTCTCACCAACCCACAATTGGCCAAGCATGGTGAATACCACTGCACAATAGAGGCATTCCTCCAACAGGAATGAGTAGGCCCTGGATTTGAATTTGGATCTTTTTTGCTGTTTGCTTTCTGCAAATAAAAGAGCATCAAAGAAAAGGCATTTCATTTTCCTCCATTTTTACTTTTTAAGTAAAATCATTTAAAATTCACAAATGAATTGTATAAGTGGACATATTAAAATATCGCTTTTCAGAATATGTGCAGATGTCAAATCTCAGTCTCTTCTTCCTCTGAAACAAAATCACGTGTTCAAACTCCACCTACTGAAAAAAAAAAAAAGGCTAGGAACCTCTGTTCCAACCCAATATATAGAAATCATTCTAGAATTATTTCCACTAAAATTTTTCTCACCATTTCTGGATTAAGTTTCCCTGTTTTCAGGTCAATGATATCTTTATCTTCCATTGATAAGATGCACTGAGCAGGTTTCACATGTGGCTGACCAGGATAGATGCCTCCACCTTCTGGGGTCAAGTCCAAAGCTACAATGAAAACAACAACAATCATCACCCATCACCCTTTTGATTGTAATTTAGCTGAATTGACTGATTTGTTGCAACAAAATGGTGGCATCATATGAAATAAATAGACATTCTGTTTTCTATGAAAAGACAGAAATTGTACAATATTTTCTTACTTTCATTGGGAATTTGTGAATATAGATTCTTTTTCTAACAAAATTAAAAAAAAATAACCTTTAATTTAAAAAAATAAATAAAAAATAATCTATTGGTTCCAAACTATTTATCCATCTTCCAAAAAACTGGCAAGCTTCAGTGTTTTCTGCCTGAACTCAACAAGATCTTTGATCCAGTTCACAATTGAAGAAAATAGTAATCAGCTAGCCATCATGGATGTACTAATAACTTGCACAGAAAATGGGTTCAAGAAATCTGTATAACAGAAGCAAACTTTCATTGAACAGTGTACCTTAACTTCAATTCCTAGCATCCATCCAGACCATGGAGGGTACAACACCTAAAACATTTTGATAATAACAAAGATGAAGAGATTAGTCAGAATGTAAATAATGTAAATATTAAGAACTTCTCATTCCAGAAATTCAGACAGAAATTAATGAAATAAGTTTTTTCTACTTATTTCTTGATTACTAAATTAATAATGAACACAGTATCTTTATTCTCTTGAGCTGAGGTTAAAGTCAGTTGGAGTAGAGAAACAAATTAAAGACTGGTTTGGAGAAAATACCAAAGATTTATTTTAATTTAAAATATATGAAAATGTCTCTGATAAATCGTATAGTGTAGTATTTGAATATATGGTGTACAAGGCATGAAAAGGAGTATATTTAATTCAGCGGACTACTGCTGGCTATCAATTTCGGCTTGTCACGTTAATAGTAGTGTCCATTCTCTTTCTGTATTCACAGGAAGTTGTTTTCACAGCCTAATGGTTGGACAGGGCAGTCAGCCGTGTTCTCAGTGTCTGTTTTGACATATTGACAGTCCAATGATAGGTCAAAAATTTTAAAAGATTTAAAACAAAATAAATTTCTCTAATTAAAATTAAAAAAAATAAAAACAACTCTTGTAATAATTCATTATTCATTGAAGATTTTTTTTCTTAAGACAGTGTCCTTAATATATCTTATTTCTAAAAGCAATTAAAAGCGTTTCTAATTAAATATTGTCATAGATTTATTGCATTTTTTATTTTATGATTCAGGGCAGATTTTCAGTAAATGGTGTTTCTGTTTGACAAAAATAAACTGATGATTTAAGTTCTCCAAGGCATCCTGCTTTTAACTAATATAAATATGAATAGGCTGAAATTTTAATTTCTCAAAATTTTATGAAATTAAGTGGGGGGGTAAAATGTAAGTGCTGGGAATAAATGTAAAAAAAATATTTTTACCAAGATTATCTAAAAAAAAAATAAATAAATAAAAAATAAAAAAATTTCCAAAATAATGTAATGTAAGCCCTAAAAATTTCATTAAAATCTGACAATTATTTTATTTTTGCAAGAATTTCCAAAACAATTTTTTTTTAACACCAATAAAGATGCTAAAAATCCTTTGGCCCACCCATTGATACAAGAAAAACAAGATTTTTAACCAAAGTTTTGAACATACAAGAAAGGATTAAAAAATTTAATAAAATAATCAAAAAATAATTTGGTTTTCCTTTTAATATAGTTAACAAAAAACAAAAGAAATAAGAAAATAATTACTTACTCCATTGTGACACTTGCTCTCCATTTTGTGTTATATTCCAAAGGAAGACAGCATTTATTTTTTGTTTCACGTCCAATTGTCCTTGTAGCTTACGAGCTAACTGTTCAAACACTTGATCACTTAGCAGATTTTTAGAAGTAGCCTTAACAAAAATAAAAGAAACAGACATGCTTAACATAAAAATGATTTCTATTACACTGCATCTCACATTATTAGCCAACTAATTTTTAGAAAACTAATGAATGGATTCATGGAAATCTTTACATTATTCTTGTACAGGATATTCTACATAATAGAAATTATAGTAGATTCAATACCATTCTTGTAATGTGGCAAGAGTTTTAAGAATCTTACTGGATTTTATAAGTTTCACATTATTGATAAGTTTACTGAAACTTGAGAAAACACAATTTTGTAATTAAAAATTATCATTAACATGTGAAAATTTTACAAAGAAAATGTTTTGAACAAAAACTTGAAAATAGTGTCATTATAATGATGGCAAAGATATAAAGACAAAGTTAATACGAAATATATGCTCCATGTTGTGAAAATAGTTTTAGAAGTTGTTTATGCATTGATTTACTGAGCTGCTGTATTTCTTCATAAGAAACAGACCAGAATTCGTATTTCTTCATAAGAAATGGATTACAGAATTCATATTTCTTCATAAGAAACAGACTACAGAATAGCATTCCAATGTTCATCTTTGCTGATAAATTGCCATCAACCAACATAAATTATATTTTCTTAGAATTTTCCATAAGTTTTTAATCAGGTTAAAACCGAGGGAACAAACTGGCTGCTTAATCAATTGTTTTTGAAGCCCATTTTCATTCAGACATTTATTAGTTTTTAAATTTCAGTTCCTACTTTTTCTTTTGTTTTTAACTCCATTTTTTTTACCTATTTTATTTTTTTTTTTAATCAGTTCACCCCAAGCAAGGTAATAATGACACTAAAATGCAAGGGAGTGAAAGGGAATGAAAAGACTTTAGAAGGAATCAGTAACCCAATCCTAAACAGGGAAAAAGGGAGGAGTGTCAAGTGGATGGATAGGCGAACCTGTCTACTGAGGAGAAAAAAAAATAACTAATTAATAAATAAAATTTCAGAGTTCAAGCAGAGACATTAGAAGTATAGAGTTGAAATAGTCTTGACTTTAAGAGGAATCAGAAACTCAGTCCTAAACAGGAAACAAGGGATAAACCTTTACTTTACCTGTTCAAAATACAGGGGAGGAGTGTGAACCAGATGATAGGCAAACAGATCCTTTTTCTATGCCATCTTAAAATTTTTTACCAGTACCAAAATCTTTGAGATAATTTTTTTTTTTTTGTTTTAAAATCAATCAGACATATTTGTTCTAAGTCATCCATTGAAAAGTATTATTTTACCTGTTTGGTTATGGATGAACGCAATGGAGAAGCTGATGAAGCAAGTCTAACAAATCCTCCACTCAAGCAAGTCTTACCAGTTTCCACAACCTACAGTAAAACAATAAGTAAATATGTACAAATAATATACAATAATAATTATAACATAATCCATTTTAGTATTACTTTTTTATCACAATATTCTACAAAAATGAAACATTAAGATGAAGAACATTTAGTGAAAAATTAATAAAAATATGGAGGGGAGTTTTGCAATAGACACTAACCAGAAATAATAATCTTTTCCAAAATTTTCTCATATTGTTATAAATTAAGTGGTTCAGATCATGAATATATTAAAAAAATGTAATTTTATAAAAGTTAATGTGGGGGGTCCAGTTTGATATGTAAATTCACTATAAACTGATTTCCATATGGAAGACAAAACAAAATATGCAGATTTCTTTTTTTTAGAAATATTTTATAAAAAAATTGAGTCATATATGTAACCATTAGTAATATATGAAAAAAAAAAGAATAGTCTAGATCACAAATCTCAAAAGTTTTAAAAAACGTTTTTAATTTTAAGAAATCACATGGTATGAATGTATATTATTTTGGCTTCTGTAGGGGAATCAATTTACAATGAATTTAAATAGCAAACTGGACCTCCCTATTAACTTTTATAAAATTAAATAAAAACAACAATCATCACATATTTTAACATTTGCTAAGTATTTTAGCCGAATTGACTGATTTGTTACAACAAAAAAGGGTGGCATCATATCAAATGAACCGAGACAGTTTCTTCTCTGTGAAAAAAACAAATCTTGACTGTACAATATTTTCCCACTTTCACTGGGAATTTTATTTGTAAGCAAAGATTCTATTTCTAACAAAATGAAAAAGTACAAAAATAAAAAGTAAAAATAAAAAAAAATAATTAATCTATAGCTTCCAGACTATTTATCCAGCTCCCAGAAAACTGGCAAGTTCCGTTGCTTTCGACCTGAACTTAATAAGATGTATGATCTAGTTCACAATGAAAGAAAAAAATAGTAATCAGCTAGCCGTCCTGGATGTAGTAATGACTTGCACAGGGAATGGGTTTAAGACATCCATATATCACAGGCCAACCTCCACTAGATAATACCTCAATTTCAATTCCTAGCATCCATCCAGACCATGAATATATTAAAAAAAATTATTTCATAAACAATTTGGGGGGGGGTGTAGTTTGCTACATAAATTCATTGTAAGTTGATCTCCTTATTATGAAAGCCAAAACAAAATATGCTCATAACAAGTGATTTCTGTTTTTGAAATTTTTAACAAATATTGCAATATGAAGTGTTTCATTGATAGTAGTATATGAAATGAAAAAAAAAATAGATTATGAACATCCCACAAAATTTATTTTTTTAAATTTTTTAAGAAATCATATTGTATGAGTATATTTTGGCTCCTGTAGTGGGGGATCAATTTACAATGAATATACATATCAAACCAGACCCCCTATTACCTTTTAAAATATTTAATTAAAAAAGATTTTTTTATATCCATGATCTTGGATGCTTAATATATAGTAATATAAAAAAAAAACATTTTTTTGAAAATTATATTTTCTGGTTGCAAAATTTTATAAGTCTCTCATATTTATTATCTTGGGCAGCACATTTTTTGATGAAGAAAAAAAAAAAAGCACAAAGCCTCCTCCTTGCCTATTTGAGACAAGTCTCATATTTTTATGGCTAAACATTAAAAAAATTTTGGAACTTTATCCTCACTTGACCAATAATGAACAGCTGATTAAAATGAATTTGACCACATGTGACAGGGGTGTGTTTCCAGAGTAGGGTAGTTTTGAATTCAGAATTGTCTTACTCGTAGACTGGCTGTCACCCAAAGCTAAAGAACTCAATTTGGGCTATTAAATGTTTGTTTTCCACTTCTCAGACAATGTATAGTTTCCGGATCATGGAAAATCTCAATGCCACAAAAAGAGCCACTAACATAAGACATATGATTGACTCCTCACTTGTAGTCTTCAATGTATGAGGATCCAGCAACCCAGTCCTTAGAATCAAACAACCAGACTATCAGCACATATGATTCGATTGTAGTCATGAAGGCTTGTGCAGAATCAACCACACTTTTCAGAAGAATTGAAAACTGATGCACATAGCATCGTACAAGGTCTCCAAACAGGTTGTTTGGAGGCCTTGTGGCATGCTATGTGTAGGTTTTGAATTCAACAATGTCCTTCTTCTAGACTGGTTATCAAACCAAGGTGAAATAGAAAGGTCTACTGTATAACACACATAGCTAGGGGTAGACAAAAAGATGGATTCATACATTATATATATATATATATATGTATATAAATAAAAAGAATCCAAAATTCACTTGAGGATGAAATGGAACTAATGTCTTTAATTTAATCACAAAATTAAATTCGTGGCTTTTAGCTTCCATTTTTGAAACATGGTTAGAACTGTGTAGCGAAAAAAAACATTTTAAATCAATTATTATATGTATATATATATATATATATATATATATATATATAAATAATGATTTTACAAATATATAAAAAAGGGATAATTTTACTTACTTGACACTGAAAATGAATTCCTTCATTTCCTTTCCACATTTCTGTCTTCAGGGTGTGGCCAGGTGAAAATGGTTTACTAAATCTCACCTGTAAACAAATAAGAACACTTATGTGGATCATTGTTAAAGAGACATAATTTTATTATACAACAACTATGTTATAAACGGAGAATTAATACCCCCCCACCTCATAGCATCTCTCAAGTCAACAGGGGTTACGAGGCAATTCCCATTTCCTCTCAAAACACACACACACACACATATATATATATACAGTTGTGGCCAAAATGTTCAGCTTGTATTATTTTATTTTTCTTTCTTTATTATGAAAGAGCTTCATAAATGCTCTTAATCAACAAAATGCATCTATATTTTGAGAGGACATTTATGTATCAGTGTACATGGAACCAATATTTTTGTAATGTTTCCTGATAAAAATAAAATAAAATATAAAAATAAAGTATATAAACAAAAATAAAAAGAATTCAACTGCTTTTCTTTAAAAACCTTATCTTTTTCTCTCTCTCTCCTTCTCTTTCTATATTTCTCAACTAAGGAGAAGGCAACACCCAAATAAAAAGAGGAAGAAGAAGAAAAAACTTAACTCTACCAAAAAAAAAAAAATGCTGGAAGTTTGTGGGACTAGAGTTAACTTCTTTGTTACTGAAAACTACCAAAAATCAGGGAGGCTCCATGCATAACTTCTGTTATATAAAAAAAAAAATGTAAATGAAAGAAATGCTGGAAAATAAAAAAATTTTGGCCAATAAAAAATAATTAACACAAAGAGACTTTTGATGTTAGTCAAAACTAAGGTTCACACCAGAATCTCAGAGCCTGGTCAAAAGGATATAAGCTCATGGCTCTGTTAATCATATTTCTGACCTTCTTAAGGCTAAGAAAAATACAGTAGATTGACACTGACTTATTTCTAAGATAACTGTGACTACTATCAATTGCTGACTTCCAAACTCTCACATACTGTATTGAAATGGACATTTCTCCAAATTGCTACAAATATCCGCCTTATAAACAGACATTTTGCTACATAGTTAACAAAGGACCCACTCTAAAGCAAATAAATAAAAATATATTATTTATTTTATACCCTTGAATCAGTTCATCTTAATTCCAAAGTTCCAGTAAATAAAAGCCGTCTCTCTCCCACACACACTTATGCCACATTTTACAACATTTTTGCTTGGCATCAGCTCTCAACTTGGTATCTATGCTGATGATACAACCATTCTGGCTTAATAGTATGTCTGTTCAGTTCGATAAGGTCAAATTGCAAGTGATGTCAAAAACAACCTTTAGCCTGTTAACTGGAGTAAAGGATGACTCATTAATTTTACTGCCTCTAAAACAAAACTACTCCCTTTAATCATCTGAGAGACTCCTTTCTTCTTTCCATTAGCATGGCTAATGCTAACCTTCAGAAAGAGTGGCTATCTACTATCCTCCTGATTACTCTTCTTTTGTTCTTGTTCCTTAGTAATGTTTCTGTTTTCTATTTCTTCCACACCCAGTAACCCTTTGTGTTTTAGTTGCTTTACTGACTTGTTTGGGGTGAAAAAAAAAACGTTATTAACTTTTAAATATATGGTTCCTTACCTTAATACTGTTTACCAATGTAGGGTCGTTGTCAGCATAATTTTTCATGACATGTCGGACAGCAAAGCCAAGAGAACACAGCCCATGCAAGATTGGCTTAGGGTGACCTTTATAATAATAAAATCAAACACAGCTGAATGGCTGACAGAGTGAAATTAAATGATAAAAAGAAATTATCATTTGCTATGTCACTTTTTGGTAGAATCATTAAAATGTAAAACAACAGTTATAAACCATTACCAAAGTTAACAGTCTTGTAGGTAATCTAAATTTCACAAACAGATAAATGAGATGAGGAGTATAGTTAATATTTCAATGTTCATTCACATCCTCATCAGAATGGACAGAACCAGCTTTTTCTTCCCTAAATCACAAATTAAATAAACAAAACTCTAAAGAAAATGAATATGGCAGAAGACAACAACTCCATCAAGTTATCTGTCAGGATGCTATGTCTTTTTAGGAATATCAGAAACACCAAAAAAGGTTAAAACAGTAGATTGATTGATTTGTTTTTTATGACTTATCAACCTTTTGCAGGTTTTTTAAAGGCAGAAAATATTTTTAGATTGTAAGAATTTTGGGAGAGATAATAATGATTTACTCATACGAGTTCTACTAATTAGCCCATAGCTGAGGGGAGAAGAGGTAAAGTCATACCTTTCCCAAGAGTATTTGCACGTATATGAACATGACAAACCTGATGGGAATTGGAACTTGGCTCTCCAACTAAAACAGCAGAAGACTATACATGTGATTCATCTGAGCAATTAGTGAGAATCTGCCTACAGTGATATAGTTCAAGACCCCCAATCCAAACAGGAGATGTTGATAATGTGAATATTACAGAATGTTATATATATGCAGGGTCGAATTTAGGCCTTAAGAGGCCCTTTGAATAACACCCTTCCACTATCTTTTTTTTAAAAAAAGATATTTTTAGATGAAGCTACATCAAAAAGTCTATGTATATAAAAAAGATGCATCAAAATCTAAATGGGTCTCCTTGAAAGGTTCCAATCGAATTTAAAAAACCCACTTCAAGTAGAGGAGCCCAAATACTCTAAATTGTTACAAATTAGTTCAAAGGAGTCCCATTAAATCTGAAAATAAATAAATCTCTGTTCTTATATCTGTTTTTTTTTTTCTTTAGTTTTACTAAGGGCCCAAGACTAGAGGGTCCTCACAAACAGCATTATTCAGTATTATGCTTGCATTTATTATAAATTAAAGTATAATTTTATGGCCAGTTGAGTACTTGACAGATCACTAAAGTTAAGCAATGTCAAGCCTGGTCAGTACCTAGATGGGTGATCACTTGAAAATATCAAATGCTGTAAGTGATGTGCGAGTTGTGTAATGGATAATGGCTCTGAATGAGAAATTGAAGAGCTGAGTTCAAATTCTGGTTGGTTTGTTACATTCACTTACATGCAAATACCTTTGGGCAATCATGAATCAATAAGTGACATGATCACCCAAGTGTATCCCATTTGGCCCTATCAACAGATATTGGGCTAGCATAGTAGGGTAATAGCTCATTCCTCCCCATAAATCTGGGGAAGGCATACTTCTAAGAAAAGACCTCCACAGGCTGAGAAGAGTACTTGAAATCTTTTGTGAAATTCCCTCAGACATTTAAATTGAATCTGACCCAAGAGTTCATGGGAATGATTTTCAAATAAGGTACTACATGTACAAACACAGTTAAAATTGATACAAGCTAAAGGCATTATTTAGACCTTTTTTGCAGGAATTAGAGAAAGAAAAAAGCAAACTCATGTGGTAGGTTTTCAGCTATATGAAATGAAAGAAGAAAAATAGACATATCTCTCTATAGGCACATGCCTATCACTTTATAGCTAGATATCTAGACATATATACATACATACAATGTACAGAATTTATTTAAACCTGACAATATTGACTACAAGAAAACTATTGTCATTTTAAATTATTAGCATATGTTTGGACTTCTTCAGAAATGACAAAGTTTATTCAAAATATCAGTGGAAACAGTTCAGATAGCCCTCTTCTCTCTGTAAAATTTTATAAAATAGAAAAAAAAAACAGAATAAATTTGTTGTTTTCTAAAGCATTTTTAGCATTATTGACAGAGCAATGTTTTTGTATGATAAACATCAATGTGTTGCATCTCTGCTTCCGAGTCAGATTCAAAAAGATTTGTTGCTCAGGAAAACAACAGATTTTCTGAGTCCCCCACCCCCATTTTTAATAAAATTTTACTTACATCTACAGAAGTGTTTAATTACAAGACATTCAAAAAGATCAGCATTTGTTACCTAGGAAAACAACAGACTTCTTTTCCCCATTTTACTTACATCTACAGAAGTGTTTAATCACCTACCTAGCCATGATTGGCAGGATGTTACACAAGGTATAGGAACAGAAGAAATTTATTAGATGAGGGATGAAGATTATCTAAAGTAATGATTCTACTGATACTTTGAATAAAAAAATGGATTAAAAATAAAAATCCATTAATTCTTTAGAAATTGCTTTGTTTACATTTTGGATATGAAACTGAGCAGATATGAAGCTTTTGAGGATATAAACTGAGCGAAGGGGATGGGCTTTCCTTAAAACAGGAAAATAGAACTTTGCTTGCTGCAATGTTTTCCATGACTGAGCACACTGGATCAAATGGTGGTTTCCCCTACAAAGGGGGATGCAAGTTTGATCCCTCCTGGGGGAATAAATTTCATTGCATCTGAAGAAGCCTTCATAAGTCAAAACATGTTATGTTAATAAAGAATTTAAAATAACATATACAATGTCTACCTACCCCCAAGTGCTGCAAAATTTGGATCAATATGTAATGGGTTGTAGTCACCACATAATCTATACATGGCTGCCTGAAAGTATTAGAGAAAAAAAAACAGCAATATTTAACCTATGTTTAAAAAATAATGTGTCAAAGTTGGTTATTTCCTTGCTATTACTGAGTGAATATACTTTTGACTCCTTTGGCAATGTTCATTGTTTTTAAAAAGCAACAATTACTATTTTAATAAAACCCAAGCATATCAAGATGGATTTATACATTTGAGAATTGACAGAAAAGATATTTTGGAATAAAAAAATTTCTTTATAAAATGGTAAATAATGAATATCACATAGTATAGACATTACTGAGGGGGATCAAAATTGTATACAATAAAAGCAGTGTCAAGGGAATAACTGTCCTTTTGACACCATTTTTGCAGACATGAAGGTTAAACAAAGACAACACACCAACTTTGTTAATGATTAGAAAATAAATAATATATTGGATTGGCTAAAAATAGTGTTCAGTTTTTGGCAACACTAAACTTCAAAGCACTCTAAGTCTGTCCTTTGCACATGCATAGGTTGTATTTTGTGTGCTTCAGATTAACCTGAAAATAGAGAACCAAAACAAATATTATCAACACCTCATGCTTTTTATTTAAAAAAAAAAAAAAGGTAAGAAAATAGTGGAAACTTAAGAAGACATGCACAATGTACAGAGAAGATGTTGCCATGGATCATGTATGCCAGAAGTGGTTTTCAAGATTTGGATTGGGAATTTCTTTGGTTCAAGGTGCACCTCAATAGTGACAAAATATTAGTCAACACTAACTCCCATCATACAACGATGATGATTGCAGATATTCTCCAAATATCCAAATTGAGTGTTGAAAACCATCTGCATCAACTTGGTTACATCAGTAGACATGATGTTTGGTTCCCACATCAATTGAATGAAGTTAACCTCACCCAACAGATTGATATCTGCAACTTGTTGCATAAACATGGAAAAAAAAAAGATCCTTTTTTTAAGAGAATAGTGACAAGGGACAAAAAAATGGATCATCTATAACAATGTAAAGTGGGGGAAGGATGGTGAACCACCACAAAACTTGGGAGCAGAACTTTACTTGAAGAAGGTTATGCTTTCAATTTGGTGGAATTAGAAGGGTGGTGTTTTTTTTCGTTTTTTTACAGGACCATCAGTTTGGATGAGTACTGTGACCAGCTGGAGAAATTAAATGCAGTGATCCACCAGTAGCATCAAGCACACGCTTTCAACACAACAATGCCAGAAAGTACACATCTTTGTATATGCGACAGAAGTAAATGGGGCTTGGCTGGGAAGATTTGTCACACCCTGCATATCTGCCTGACTTTGCACCTTCTGATTTTCACAGGTTTCTATCTCTTCAAAATTCTTTGAATGGACAGACCTACAACTCAACCTATATATATATATATATATATATAAATCATTTTACCCCAAGCAAGACAAGAATGTGTTATAAAATAAATTAAGACATATCTTGGCTGATTTACAGGCAAATAAACTAACATACTCAAGAGCAAGAGTCGGATGTGAACGGGACAAGTCCCCATTACAAAATGACCATTATCTTCGTTTATGCATGTTCCTGACATGCGAGTTCCGGTCGAAAAATAAAATAATATTTTAAAGTGTTTCTATTTTTCGACCAATAAAAATGCTTCCCTCCTAATTATACTCGCGTCGTTTTTTAAGCCATAAAAGGGATCACAGGGAAGTACAACAGCGGTCAACAGGAGGCCAGGGAAGAGACCTGTCACGGTCGGTCTGAGCAACCAGCAGCAGTCAGCAGCAGTAGCGCCATGTCAACCAGTGTGAACTACTATGAGAGATCAACCCAGATCCGAAGCCGGCTTATGAACTATACCACAAGGTAGCTGTCCCAAACCCACACGTTCCTGTTGAAATAAATCACGTAAATCTATTTCTGCTGTTGTCGTATTTCTTTCTTGCAACCATACGCTTGTCTATAACAATTGCTACTAGTATGCAGGGGGTTACAGAAAGTGAAAATGAGAGAAAAGATAGCAGGGATTGTGGAAAAGGCGAACAGGATTCAAGACAGAAAATAGCAATTGATATTGCATTTAAATTTTTGAAGATTATAGTTTTCAGGGAAGCAAGTAAACAGAAGGAAATTCCACAGGTGGGAAGTGTGAGAAAAGATACTGTTGGAGAAGAAGTGGCAGTTACATTTAACTATTTCAGCAGTAAAAGGGTGGGACCTAGATACCAATCTAATAGCATGCTTAGATTCATGGAGTCTGAACACCAGTGAAAATATATATATATATATATATACATACATACACACACACACACACACACACATATACACACACATAACGCAGTTTATGGATGCACCTCCAAAAATCTAGATGATCAGAATCTGGCAACTGATCTCTCCTCTGACATAGATCTAACAACTGTCAAAGGAAAAAACATAACATTAAATACCTCAAAAAACAAGCTTGTAATGTTTCATCATCACCAGACAGACTTTTTCTACAGTTTTGAATGTCTTTTGGGACTAAAATTCATTCCAAACCTCAAGTAGAAAATATAATCTATCACTAAAAATGCTGGAAAAATTATGGGATTCTTGTACCACTCCAGAAAGTAGCTGACTCCTCCTACCATGCTCTATCTATACAAGAGTCAGATCAGACCTTTTCTTTCCTGCTATCAGCATGGCTGATACTAGACTCTAGGAGAGCAACACACAGCATCTTCTTGGGCTCACATTTTCCACTGACTTGAAGTGGGGTTACTTCATCTAAATAATAGTTGCATCTACTGCAAAGAAATTTGGGTCACTCTGCCTGAAAATTTTTCTCATCAGAATCCATCTTTCACATTTAGAAATCTACCATTATTCTATGCGTTGAATACTGTTGCCATATCTGGTCTGGTGCTCCAAAGATGTAATTGATCCTCACAAGAAAACTTGACTTCAATCACTTTCTCAACAACATGATGTAGCTTCCCTCTATCTTTTCTACAAATATTTTCATGGCAACTGCTCTGATGAGCTTCTTACCCTGGTTTCCAGACTACATGAATTTAAGCAAGCTACTAGATTGGAATCTAGGTCCCACCCTTTTACTGCTTAAATAGCTAAATGCAACTACACCAACAGTTTCTTTTCTTGTCCTTGCTACCTGTGAAACTCCCTTCCGTTTACTTGCTTCCCTGATTACTAGACTCCTTTAAAAATTTAAGTGCAGCTTCAATCGCCATCTTCAGTCTTTTTGAATCCTGTTCATCTTTTGTCCTTTCCTCAATCCTCCCTACTTTCAGTCTTCTCTTTCACTACCTGTAACCCCCCCCCATGCGTACTAATGACATTACTGACTTGCCTGGTGTTTAATCAACAGTTATCTATCCTACATATCCTCATAATCTGCACTTCTAACTTCTTCCTCTTACAACCCTGTAACACTTTCATTCACTAAGCCTTCTACCTTGAGTGGCTCTTGGGCTTTGTATTGGGTGAACAATAGTATAAAATCAAATACATATTAATAAAGAAAAATATTATACCTGATCCACAGAGGTTGTCTGTTGGATTGACATATCTGGTTCTCGATTAGGAATTCTGATGATTGGCTTCTCAGCAGGAGATGATCTCAAGCCTCCAAAGTTACCAGAACCCATTAACAAAATGTTGAACTGGTTGAAAGCAATTTTCTCCTTTTTCTTGTTGAATGTCTCCACTAAAAATCAAAACAGAGAGATAGAAAAAAACTTACAAAAAACATAAAAAAATAAGAGAACATTACTGAATATGTGTACGTTGTAGAAACAGTTCAACTATGTAGGCTCAAAGAGTCAATGATGACTTCCAAAAGTTTTATTTCATTTAGAGGATCTTAATAGTGTATAGCACTGACCAATCAAAGCTTGAATGCAAAATAAATATATCTTCTGACCAATCAACTGTTGCACTATCCTGTCTTCTCTCAATTCATTATCCTTTTATAAACTTATTTTTCATAAATTTTATAAAACAATTTTATACTATTACATATGGTTTGCATGATTTTTTTTTCTGTGAATTGTACATATAATAGTCCTGTTGACAGTAATGCTTGCTTTTTAATTCTTAATCACTGGTAATCTGTCTTTTCCCAATATTCAAGGCATTTCTATTATACATATATCACACTAGAGCCAAAATGGACAGACTATAGTCCTACTGAGAACAACTGCCAATTTAGCAATTTTTAGTATTAACAAAAAACACAAATGTCTTCAAACACTACAGATATTTCCCTCAAGTAATTAAAGTCAGATACCTATCAATGTTCCTTTAAAAACAATTGTTAATATTTTTCTTATTTAATTTAGTATAAAAGATGAATAGGTCTCAAAAAGCTGTGAGGTAAGCTCAGAAAAAGGCCATAATGAAAGTTCTCAAAAAGGATATGTATATAGTTAGTTAACAACGGACTTATATGAATTGTGCATGAGGAAAGAAAAATAAATCAATACAGATTGTTTATCATAGTAATAGAGTTCAAGGTTAGAGAACCCATTCATTTTTCTTGCCATAATAACTGACAACAGCCATTTTTTTTACAGTACATTAATTTGTAGCAAAACATTGAATCATGTAGTTTACCAAGAATCAATTAAAAACCAAACATACCATTAATCAAAACAGCAGCACCAAATCCTTTGTCTAAAATATCAGCAATTTTTGCAACTGAGGTGAGTTCACCACTTGTTGGGATTGGCTGGAAGATTTCCATATACTGTTCCCCATGAAGAACCTGTAAAAGAACCAATTAATATTTTATCCATAGACTGTTTTTTGTCAAGAGAGTTTACAATAATTCTTACCCACAGACAAACCCTTTTTTTTAAAAATTTATTTGCAATACATTTCTGCAATAAAAATCATTTTTGGTGCATATCTATAATAAATGTTTATATATAAACACTGCCAAGAATTTCTTGTTTCCCTGCCAAATACAATCTTCAAAAACTTAAATGCAACATCAATTGTGAAAATCCTAAATCCTGTTTCTTTTATTGTCCTTTCTCCTCACTAAAGTCTACCTACAGCATACCTTAAAACTATATTTTTATCATTTTGTGACCAGTGCCTACAAAAATATCGCCTCTATATCATCATACTTTTTCTTTCTACCACACGCCTTCCCTACATAATACCTTTTCCTTCTCATAGCAGCAGTGGACAAACACACCTGTAAATGTGACAATCAGCAGCAGCTGGGGCAAACTGACGAATCAAGACACAGGATCAAAAAATTTTGAGTTGTACCAATTGGATGACAGCAGCCAATCACAAAATGATAAAAATATAGTTATGATGGCAAAGATAAGCGACCACAAGGGAAAAAATATAGTGAGTTGCAGAGATGGATTGAATTTGTGAAGACGTCATCATGGCCTACACAAGAAAACAGAAATATGATGTATCCTGGCTATAAAGAGACTGAAGCATAGCAAGATCAGAGAAAACATACCCACCACCCACGACAATTAAAAAAGGCTCATTTCAATTCCATTCACCGACTGCAGTAATAAAAAGATAAACTAAATCAAGAAGTGAAGATCTTCCATACAAAAATCACAGATGGATTCCTGAACAGAATCAAGTGGAAAGGAACAGGAGCTTCCAGGCAAAATCATAAGAGTTATATCGGAAAAAAAGAGTGAGAAGAAAAATAAAGTTCTGAAAGAACTAAAAAAAAGGGAAAAGAAAAAAACTCATAAATAGATAAGTTCATTCATCCCCATCCCATAGTTTTCCAGCATACATCCACATGTTAAAGTATTCAGTGCATTCACCATTACATGAAAATATTAAGGCTCCTCAAACTGATCCACCATATTTGTTCATTCAACATTGGTAAATGCTGTAACTGAACTTTATTATTATTCAATGTGTTAAATTCCATTTTCACTCCACATGTTCGAAGAGGAATCTGAGAGTAGATGGTTTCTACTATATATTTTATATTATTTTTTTCTTTAATATTGTGATACCAATGAAGAAATTCAAATATGAATACTTACAATCAAAGGGAGGTAACCCTGATTTCTCTACATCTTTAAATTCGTAACAATATATATATATATATATATATATATATATATATATATATATCAAGCCTGATGCCAATTCAGCCAGGTTTCGATCCTAGCTAGAGGCAACCATATGTCTAGCCACACTGATGAGCTGTGAATGACAATATATATATATATATATATATATATAATAATTATTTTCTATTTTAGAAATATGGTTCCATTGCTACACAGGAATTACCATGTTTCAAAACAGAAACTAAAATTTTAAATTTAATTATAAAATTAAATTTAAAATCCATAGCTCTATTCCATTCTCAAGTGACTTTTGGAGTATTATGCTCTACTGTTTTTGCATCAAGCACTGTTTTTTAAAAATAAAAATGATTACTAAGAATACCAGATTGTAAATCTTACTGTTCTTTCTTATTATTTTAATACATACATACATACATACTATATACAGTAGTATCCCAAATTAAGGAACAAGATTAAAACTTTATATAAGTCCAATTTTTCTGAAATTTTCACTAAATGTAGACAAATGGCACTTCAGTTGTACTTTAAATTTTGAGATATCGAAGTTTTAATTTTTGTTCCTTAATTTTGGGTGCTACTATATATATATATATATATATATATATATATATATATATATATACATACATACACAATATATCTATTTATAATATTGCATTCTATCCATGCAAAAGCAGTTGTATAAACAAGAGGATCTATTTTAGATGGCAATCACTTAATGGTTACTTCATTGATACAAATAAACAATATTTGTCAAAAATATACTTGCATATTAAGGGAATTCCACTTTTGCTTTTGATGTCAAATTTCTCAAATTTGCCAGAACCAATCTAAAACTCACCTTAACAAGATCTACTTCCAAGCCAGGGATGCTATCACCGAGGACTTCAAAAACAGCCTTCTGAGCTGGGATTATACAGAAAGTTGGTAAGGCACAAAAGTCTTCATTCCCTTCAAACAGAAATTTCAGATGATCTGGTTCTTTGGTAGAAATACCAACTATAAAACAAAGAAAGCAACAAATAAAATAAATAATAAAAACATGACCCTTGAATTTTGGAAAAGGATATTTTCATTATTCTACATATTTTTTTTCAGATTTGTATCTTTAATTTCAGGTCTGAATTTCTAGAATAAGAAGTTTACATTATTTACATTCAGTCTTATTTACATTCATCTTTGTTGTTGTTGTTATCACAACCTTTTGACCCTTGTTCCTTCCAGTCTTCTCTAGATGTCTGCTGATCTAAGTAACCATCAAGGAATTTCAAACCAAAGTTTTTATTTAATCTACAGGGTAATTTCATGGATTAAAGGGTTTGTTTGTAAATTTAGTAGCACAGAAATTGTGGGTCCAATCCCTAGGCTGGGTAGTACAGACTCACTTGAAAGAGGAAGAGCAATATTAAAAGGAACAAGATGAGATATCGTAGAACAAGAACAATCTCTGCTAATCTAGATTAAGTAAAGGGGTCAGTTTGAAGTTCCCTGAAAGTTACAGGGATTGAACTCGGAATTACTATCACACCAAATTCATGAACCAACACTTTAATCCATTAGACTGACACCTGAAGAAGTCTAGAAGACATGATAGATGAAATGCTGTGGTAACAACAACAAAGATGGGGATATTAATAAGACTCTGAATAATGCCAATAGAAAGAGGTTAATAGGTTTCTGAGGAGAGACTAAGATAAAAGACATAAGGGTTTACACTATTTACATTGATCAGACTGTTGTCTTCATCCTTGTTGCCATGTTCATGATGTTTCGGCTGTTGTATGCTCCAGCCTTCTTCAGGTGATTGGAATTTTGAACCAAACCTTTTATTTTCTCCATGTGCCATGCTTCTTCTGGATATCTCAGTTTCAGGTATTTCCCTTTAGCTTAACTTTCCAAGTTTTTGTTCACCTTTGCTGTGGTCAGGTATTGAACTCACAACTCTTTGGTTCAAGTCACTGGATTACATCATTCAACTGAATTACATCATATCCACTGGGCCATGTGCCAAAATGTTGTGAATATGGCATCAAAGATGAGGACAACAGCCCAAACAATGTAAATAGTGTAAATAATTACAACACCTCATCTCAGAAATAGAGACAGATAAGAAAAGTGATTAAGCATAATAAATGAGAGTGGGTGGGACAAATAGCAAGAAGAAAAGATAAGAGTTGGATAATAGCAAGTGAATGATGATGGCAAATAAATAGCAAATACAGTAAGAAAATACCAGACAGAATATGATTTTCTGTTAAGATATGACAGAGATTTGCAGAGTCACCATTGATATGAAAGGAGTTTGGAAAGGATTTTGCCCAGAACTGAACCTGCAATGGCTGCTGATACTAAATGAAAACTAAGAAAATCACTTTAAATAGGAAAGTAATTGAGTTCAATCCCTGAATCAGGCAGTGTGTACTTGGACTAAAAATAAGAACAAAAAGAAATATCTTGAGACATGGGCAGTGGAACAAGAACAATCTATCCCCAAAGATTCAGGATTCAGTTCAGAATTCCCTGTAGGTTACCCAGATTGATATACACCTGATGATAGCTGGTGGGTACAATGGCCAAAGTATTGTTATAACAACAACATAGATAAGAGCAATAATCCAAATGTAACTAGTTTAAGTAAACAAAAATCATTTTAAAGATACAACAAATTACGCAGCACTTATTTTAACACAAAAATTTAATGTCTGACATTGCTCAAATCTTTTCTCAGTATAATTGTTGCTAACACAACATTTGAACCAATCTCTTCTTCAGCCCTTATTGGGTGTAATCACTGAAAAAAATCGATTTTCTTTTTCTCACTGAATACACCTGACGCGGTGGGTGGGGAGATTTCTGAAGAATCAATCTGCTGAAATGTGTTAAGAGCAGCTACATTAAGAAGAGAACCAAACAATGTCAGATACATTAATGACACTTTTCTAAAGTTATAAACAGTACACCTTTTATGAAAATAATCATCAATTGTTTGCAAATTGAAAAAAATAATTATGCAACACTTATTCTGATTAACTGTGTTCCGTAAAATGATTACTTCACTACTTAAGTACATTTTAGTTGGCAATAATATAAATGACAGATAGCTATAAAAAGGCATTGTTGATTATTATTTACAGCCAATTTGTTTAAATAAGGTACTGACTATTATTTGTCTCATGTGGTAATAATTGTGTGTAAAATGTAAACCAAGTAATTGTTTTAAGTTCTCTGTATATTGATGCCTTTTAAAAATGCAAAACACTTCAGAAATTTATCAACCAGAAAACAATATGGAGCCATTATATTTACCTGCAAGGGCATAAAGAATGACGTGTGAATGGTCATAGGTCAGAACAGATGACTGAGCAGAAAAAGATTTGGCCAATTCCTGAAAGAAAAAAAGTAGCAAGGGTTTCAGAAAAATGACCAAATTCATGTATCATAATTGATAAAACTTTTATTAAACACACAATAAAAATCTTGCCGCCATGTAATGTAGTCATTTTCTAAGATAAGTCCAGCACAAGGCAACTTTAATGGCAGTTGGTTAGTTTTGTGGCATATCAACCTCTATGGGTTATTTAATGCCGAAATCTGAATATTTTGAGCGCAATTGTGTGCCTTCAACTACAGATAAAATGTAATGGTCATCTCAATATAAATAGGTATTGTTGGTAATTTTTTTTATAGAAAAATGTATGGTATTTTTATACTCGTAATCACCAAAATAAAAAAAAAGTCATTTTTTTCTTTTTTTTCTCACAGAATACACTTGTTGAGGGCTGAAGAATCAATCTGCTGATATGTGTTAACAGTAAATACAGTTAAAAATAGATTTGAGCAACCAAACAATGTTGGATACATTAAAGACACCTTTCTGAAATTACAAAGAATACTTACTACATTTATTCCATTTTGTGGGCTGCTTTCAGCCTCCTTCATTACAACAGAAGTATCCGAACAATTTGTCTGTTGCAAAATATCCATCATTAAAGAAATATGGTCTGGAAAAAGAGAAAAGATAAACAATTATATATATTAATGTTTAACATAACTCCAAATCTATGAAGGATATAAAAAAACCTTCGACACATTTAATTTTAGCGTATAATGTGACTCCAACTGATGAAGATCACAGGACACAACAGTTGAAATGTTGTGATAACAACAAAGCTGAGGACAATAGTCTGAATGTAAATAGTGTAAAAAAAATAATGGTACTAGCTTCCAATTTTCTTGTTTTTAATCATTTCACCCAAAGCAAGGTGATAATGCTACTAAGTGAAAGAGAAGAAGACTTTAGTGAGGATTAAGGACAATAAAAGCACAGGATTTAAGACAGAAAATGGCGATTGATGTTACATTTAAATTTTTCAAGATTGTAGGTGGCAGTGAAGCAAGAAACCAGAAGTTTCACAGGTGAGAAGTGTGAGAAAAGAAACTGTTAGAATAGAACTTAGGGTTACATCTAGCTATTTCAACAGTAAAACTATGAGACTTAATTGCCAATCTAGTAGCACACTTAAATTCATACGGTTGAGATACCAAGGAGGGAAATTTGTTAAAACAATTGCCGTGAAAATATATATAGAAAAGATAAAGTGAAGCTATGTCACAGCAGTGACAGGTTAAGATGCCAGGTTGGGACTGATAACATTACAGGAGCACAAGCCCAAATATAGTAGCAATATTCAATGCATAGAAAATATATTTTAGAAGATGATGATTTTTTTTTTTTTACAGTCTATCAACCCTCTATCATTTATTTGAAGCTAAAACATATTTTTGACTTATAAAAATAATCCTCTTTTTATTTGTTTTTTTTTGCAAATAAATATTGCATTAAATATGTTTTGTGACTAACAATGATTTTCATTTTAAATTTTTTCTCATCTTTGTTGCCATATTCACAACATTTTGGCTGTTGTGCACTTTGGCCACCTTCAGATGATTGGAATTTCAAATCCTTTATTTTGTCCAATGGGGTAGATTGTTCTAGTTCTATGTGCCATGCCTCTTCCAGATGTCTCATTATCAGTTATCACCCTTTAACACAACTCTCCAAGTTTTTGTTCAGCTCAGCTGTAGTCAGGTATTGAATTCACAATTCTTTGCTTTTATCAACTTAGCCATGTGTCCTTGTCAAACTAGAACAATCTACCCCAATGAATGAAATAAAGGGTTCAGTTTGAAATTCCAATCACCTGAAGAAGGTGGGAGCATACATCGGCCAAAACGTTGTAAATATAGCAATGAAAATGAGGACAACTGTCTGAATAATGTAAATAATAAATTTTTCATATACAATTTAACTAATAACTGTGGGAAGGAGATGGATTCATACTCCCACCCCCAAACGAATAAGTGAATGCAACAAACCCAACTGAAATTTGAACTTGATTGATTTCTCATTGTGAGTCACTATAACAACAGTCTACATATCCCATACTTCAGAAATAAAATAAACTCTCAACCTATCTATCTTTAAACACTACACACACACACACACACACACATATATGTTTGTGTGTGTGTGTATGACAAATGGAAAACTGTTCCATTGAAATTAGATTTGATTACATGTTTTGCCTTTCTAGGCTTCATCAGATCAAAATAACGAAAGAAAAATATGTGTATGTATTTGTGTGTATTCTTAAATAATAAATCATTAGTACTTTTTATATTAAGCTGGTGTTTCTTGTGATGAAAAAAAAAAGAATGGACATAAGTGAATTTTAAAAAATTAAAAATTATGAAGATAAAAATGTATGTTAATGGATGTTTTACTAATTTGTAGCTCTCAGTCTTTACATAAATAAGAGAAGTACACTGTAAATAATTCTAAACTCCTGCAATATCCTAATCATTTCATATATAATGCAAGATAGCTTAGAGAATTCCTAAAATTGAAGAAGAAAATAATAAATAATCTTGATAAAACTAAGCACGTAACACTACCTAACAACACAATAATGACTACAGTTGAAAAGAATTTAAACTTAATATAAAATTTCTTATAATTCCTTCAAAAATAGTTAGAGATTTAATTAATACAAAACAAAATAACAACAACTTAAAACAGGCATTTACAAAGTAGACAATGAAAAATGCATAAAAAATATATAGTTGAACATCTAGGAATTTGAATAAAAGTTTATATTATTATTAAAAAAATCATTTTTATAGTAACATTTTTAAAGAATTAAGTGATTTTTCAAACATCTATATCTCAATTTCTTGTAAATATCCTTTGTACACATAGTAATGTCAGCATCACTTTAATCTGATGAAATCCTAAAGGATGAAATGAGTCATGCAAAAACATTTCCCACTTTTGTCATAATTTTTCTCTAAAATTGCTCTTGATATATAAAAATTTATATATCATTTTCTGCTATTATAAACTAATTTTTATATCAAGACATTTTTCATTTCTTTAGGCATAAACTTTGTGAAAATTAAATAGTCTTTTATATAGGATTTAAATGGATTTTTGATTATTAGTATCAATCCCACAATAGTCTGTAAGTATGCCTAAATGAGTATAGAGAAGAGTATCAATTATGAACAGGATATCAGTATACCTTGTAGAGAGTCTGGGTGAGTTGACTCATCAAAATTGCATATCTTCTCCCAATTGTCCCGGACTGGAAAAGACAAATTCATAAAAAATTCAAGCAAAGCAACTTCTATAGAACATTAATACATGAATTAATAACAAAAAAAATCAAATCAAATCTGGATGATTTATCTTAACTCTTCATTAGTACTGTGGACTATTGCCACGGGATTAATACAGTGGTGTTTTCAAACAAACCATTTAAAATATTAGATGTATAATTTAGTTCTTAATTTTCTTGTTATAAATTTCTTAAGTATTATTTCTGTTTTTTTAGAAATGAAAATGAATTAAAAATAATTAAAAGGAATATGCAAGTTTCAAAAGTTCAATTAAAACAAAAATAGGTTTCATTTTAACTGTTATGATGGGTCTTGTTTGACTCCTGTTTTTGGTTAGTAAAATATACATATATACATCATAACAAAGGGAGACATTTATATATATATATATATATATATATATATATATATATAAGGATTTATTATCAGAAGGATTTGGTCATAATTGTTTGGTAGATATATGAAAGTTCTTGTAATGTGGTTGTTAAATGCTTGTTTTTGTGTTTGTTTGCAAAGTGAAAAATCACTCATTAAAAGGTAATATTAAACATGATGAAGTGATATTTGTGTAAAACTTATCTGTGGTTTTCATTCCATGAACCGCTCAAATCACCATGCTCTTTTGGTGAGAGGTCATTGAAAAGAGGATGACTCTAAATTTCCCGCCAGTAGTGCAGTTTCTGTTTTACTAGGGAATCATGGGACATTAGAATTTTTTGCTTTTTTTTTTTTTAAATTTCTCATGATCATGAGATCAATACATAACAAATAAAACTGCATGTAACTTGCAAGAATATTATGACTAAAACCAGAAAATTCTTGTAGCTAGTTGGCAGAAGTATTCAGAAAGTTACTTGAATAATCATAAAAATTTGACTTGCAATTTGCTAAATATTAAGGAAAAACATTTTGTGGGCTTTTCAAACTTCTCACAGTACTAATGGAGGGTTATTAGAAAACTTACCGTATATGCCAGCATGTAAAACATTTTTAAACATAAAAGAACCTGGAGTTGATTAAAAAAAAAAAAAAAAAAAAATCAAATTTAAAGTTTGCTGATCAATGTTGAAGTGGAAATTTTCTCAAAGAAGGAAAGTTGATATAACCAAAACTTTTTTTAATCATTTCACCCCAAGCAAAGCAATAAAACCACTAAGACACAAGAGGTTACTGATTAATAAGAATTGATTCATTCATTTTCTATGGCTTATCAACCTATTGCAGGTTATTTAAAGCCAGAAACTATTTTCAGATAATAAGAATTGTTTTTGGAGATAATAATGGTTTTAGTAATACAATCCTAATTAACCCATAGCTGGAGGGGGGGGAACAGGTGGATTCATACCTTTCCCAAGGGTATTTGCTTGAAGTGAATATAACAGACCCAACAAGAATTGGAACTTGGCTCTCCAGTTAACAATCTTGAGTCATTATCCATTACACCACCCACACATTGAAGCTTACAGCATTTGGTATTCCCAAGCAGTCACTCATCTCGGTACTGACCAGGCTTGATATTGTTTAACTTTGGTTATTGCATGGGAGCTGGTGTTTCAACATAATGTGGCCATAAGCTAAGAAAATATTGGGTGTGAAAGAATATGGGAAAAAGAAAAACATTAAGGAAAGAAAACAAAAGAACATGAATTAAGAAAACAAGATAACAATTGACATTGCCTTTAAAACTTACTAATATTTGTTTGCATGACAGTTCCATCTTTTACTTGTATATGAGACCTGTCTTGAATGTATCCAGCCATTTAATATTGATGAAAAAGTAGCCTACCTAGGGCAATGGTACTTTCATCCCCTTCAAAATACTCCCTTTGAGACCTCTTTCATTTAGACAGATTGCTGAAAATGTGATTGGGTAACACAAGTTATTCCATATTTCTTTGTACTTAAGAATAATCTATAATCCTTTCTTTGTTAGGTAGTGAAATCCAAAGAATGAGTTCAATAGTCTGAACTATTGGAACTTGGAATAATAATGATAATTTTAAAAATTACAAAAGGTACCTTTCAACAAAAGAGCTGCATAGTTCATACAACTCTTGGAATGATAATGACTCATGACTTACAATAAAACCTTGCAGTTACCAACAATGGAACTGGTTATTTACATGCAGAATACTGTCCTCATCTTTGTTGTTGTTATCATGTTTCAGTTGTGTCCTCCAGCCTTCTTCAGGAATATGCCAATACAGGTAACTTACAGGGAATTTCAAACTGAACCCTTTATTTAATCATCTATCATTTTAATTCAGTTTGAAAATTCCCTGTATGTTTATAGTGGCATGGGGCTTAGGGGTTAAAATGAACAGTTGATTTACTCATGCTAAGAAGATTAATGAAGAATAATAATAATAAGAATGAGGAGGAAACACACAGGTAATTTTAACAAAACAATATAAGGAATTTATTCACAAATTTACATGCTTGAAGTAATGTCAGTAGCTTGTTTCAGGAAAATAAATCAGAATTCTTGAAGTCTGTAGTTTTAATGTATTGTCATGAAGGCAAGGTTTTCATTGGTCCAAAAACAATTTCACATAGACTCACAAATTTTTTTCCTTCTTTTCAGCTTACTGGTTAATTTCTGCGAAAGGCAAAATCTCACATAGGCTTGCAAATTTCTTTCCTTCTTCCTCTGGCCTCCGAATTTGAAAGGAGTTATTATTATTTCACATTCACTAAAGATTATCCAGATTGATATACACTTGATGAAGGCTGGAGGGCATGATAGCCAAAACGTTGTGATAACAACAAATATGAGGACTGCATGTAAATAATGATAACTCATCCCAGAAATTCAAACAAAAATGGCATGGGTGTGTTATGACCCTGAACTCTCTTTGAAGTGGGGAAGTCTGATGGAAGGAGGACTTCTTTATTTTGGGAACAAGGAATTGATTTGTTAATTGAAAAAAATTCTGAAACTGAAATGAACAGTTTAGAATTTTAGGTTTTGATTTATACTCTAAAAGATATGCTTGAGACATAAAAATGACAGTTTTCTGATGTCAACAAACACTCGTTGCCACTTTTTGTAATATCAATGAACAATTGTAGTTACTTTCGTAATGCTCATTGTAGTAGAGACTTTGTAATCACAGATACAACTATAGTAATGCCATTGAACAATGTTGGTGTCAGACGCCTTCAACTATCACTCACACTAATAGTACTTGCTCGATATTACTCACTTGAAAAGTAACCACCGAATAGTGATCCAAATAGTAATCCATATAGTGATCACTTAGACACCACACTAATTCCCATATATATATATATATTTATTTCTTTTACCATCATGTGATCTACTTATTCAAAATGGGATTGCCTGTGTTTGCTCTCTGGTGATCTGTGTTCAAACTTCATTATTCCTATATAACAGGCAGTCGCTATGCAGTGTTGATTTCTATGTCCACACTGTCTATATGTACATTCTACAAATGCTCTACCGCCAATATTGGATACGCTTGTCCAATAAAAATAGAAAACTTTATACAATATTATGACCATAAATTATCACAAACATAGATATATAGACATATATAGACATGTACAACCTCCAACATGTTTCATTTCACCCCAACCAAGGTGATAAAAGACACAAGGAGTTACCACTAAGAGTGAAAGAAACAGGTAAGACAATAAAAGAACAGGATTCACGATATTCAAATTAAAAAAAACAGTTTATTTTCAAAATCATTTGTATAGATGATCAACTTAGAAAAGCAGAAAAAGGAATAGTCAATAAAACTTCTCGGAGCCTTGTCTGAATCAGGTGGTTCTCATTTATATTGACTATAACATCCAAGATGGCAACCTTCAAAAAGTTTCATGATGTTATAGGGCTGCCACTTAGTTTCCCTCTGAACAACAACCCAGACATAGTAGTCCAGAGGATTAAAATGGAGAGTTAAAGTGATTGTATCTTGGTGAGGTGACATGATTGAAAAATTCTCTGAGTTATGTCGGGCATGTGTATCCTGTAGGAATTCACACAGTCTCACCTGGGCCACTGTGTCCAGCCACTTTATGTAGGTGATAACATTGACCTTAAGGACTTGCAGAAGTTAGGCAGTATGACATGGCCTTCATTGTTCACAATGCCCAAGATCATCACAGACAATATGTATATGTGACTCTGTATAGCCCCTCTTTAGGGGCTATACAGAGTCACATGTTGTTTTTCCAGCTGACCTGATCTAGTCAAAGTTCTTATTAGAGAAGAACTGTAGCATATCAGGCTCTTTAAGGTGCTTAAACTCATTCAGCAAGTACTTAGTTCTACAGAGATTTGTCAGGCATAAACTGCTCTTTTCTTATCATATAGAATTTGTACCAGTCTTCATGTATCACATATCTATACAATCCTTAACTGCTCAGTGATAGACCTTATCAACTTGGAGTAAGGGTTGACAATGCCCTGGACATCTGGCTGAACTTGGCTGTCCTTATAACAACTGACCATTCAAAATGTTTCTTTCTCTTTGTTATGGATGACACATCTCAACCAGATGCCGTCGACTCACTCCTGATACTTAAACATGAAGAACCTGCCCATTTACAAGAAGCTGGCTATTTCCAAGTTGTTGTAGTTAACAACTTGTAACACTAGTGTAACATGCCTTTTTATTAGCCATGTCAAATGGGAAGTTGATATCTTAATTCTCTTGATACATCTCAAAAAGAAATGATAATGTGAAAATTTGGTATATACTGCATAAAATACTCTTTAAAAGTTGTTTCCCATTTATAGTCCACAAAAAGGCGTGTTCTCACATGATGCATATACACTCTACATACACATATGAATACTCAACACATAGATACATACAGATATATACACATATAATTGCTGGCCACTCATATTTGAGGATGTTCGTCTACTTGGGTGGCTAGCTAATCCCTGTTGCAGATGCTTGTCCAGCCATATTTGTGTTTGTTAAACACCAACAGAAACCACCTGCAACTATGCTGAGCAGACCCTAATTACAGTTTCTGGGAGAGACATGTTATCTAGTGTGATCAACAGTCTGAACAAAGCCAGCATGCTCAAACCTCGGTCACGATGACTTGTGACTTCATGCTAGCACAACCATTGATGGCTCCCCAAAGAGTTCCATTTACTCAATTTTAATCACAAGACTTGGATCAACCAGTGGTATGGTTTTCAGGCACCTTCCAAAGGTTTCTACATGCTGTGATCGCCTCCCCACAATCGCTAACATCAAGAAGTCACCTTCTCCACAAATTGACCAGGGTGAGATTTGAACCTGGGTTTCATGGTCAGAAAGCAAACGTTCTGACCACTTGGTCATGTACCCATATACGCACATATAGAAATATCCATACGCACATACTTTCATCCAGATAAATGTGTTAAAAACTAAAAATCTTACCATCTTCAATAGTCATAGATTTATTCCGTTTCTTTAAGATTGCTCCAGCGGTCCGTTCCCATCTTACTGGCCAAAAAAATATTTACAAGATTTTAATCAGTTTTTCCTTTTAAAATTTCAGAAAACTGTGTTAAATCTATTTTTAAAAGCAAAGATCAGCAATAGAAAAACAAAAAATAAAATAAAATCAGCAACAACACAAAATAAATCTTTAACATTCATACTATTTTCAAATAAATAAAACCATGCCTACGCATAAACTGTCCCATCACCAGTCATCTTTAAATATTCAAAATGAAGTGTGGTCAGGCTTAGTCCTGCTACTGGTAAGACAGTACAACTCATCAAATGGATGAGCAGTTGGCATCTAAACCAGCTCCCCCACTAGCTTTTCTGCTGGTGAAGAGGGTAACGTGTCACCCCCACTGGATGAAAAACAAGATCTGTCAAAGGGCAGATGAGCTTCTTATAGGAGTCAATGGTCAACATGTGAGTGTGTGTGTGTATATAAGGTTAGGATGGGGTTTCAAGCCTTGAATGGCAACTTTCTGAGAGATGGTGTCTCGATAAAGACACTGTGTACTTGAACTACTGTGAGTGTCCAAATTGGATGTCAGGAAGAGCATTTGACCTTATGACAAATCCTGTCAGGCTGGACCCACCTTTATTATTATCTGCAGGTTTCATCTAATAGTCAATTAAATAGTCTTTCTGGTCAATAACTGGAAATAAATGTTTTCTACAGTTAGTAATTAATCTTCTATAAATTTATTTCAGCATACTGGTCCATTCTTTGAAAGCAAACCCCACTAACTAGTAAATTTGAAGCTTGCCTTGATTTGGATTTAGACTTAGACTGATTTAGGTTATTTTACCAGCACACCAACCCCATAGGTAAAGATTGCCTTGAACGAGCTCTAACTGGCCACAAATTTTTCCATCAGATTCAGGTCCAAGTACATTGCAGGCCAAATTAAGATGTTTTGCTTCTTGTTTTTCAGTCAACTTTTCACCTGTGTGTTTAGGATCATTATCATGTTGGAAGATGAAACATTTTTCAAAACATAGTTGATGAAGTCTTTTAGATTTTCCTTTAAAATATCAGTTTACTCTTTTTCATGGTTCCAAAGATGTGAAACAAGTAGCGTGTTCCACTTCCACTAAAACACACCCAAAGTATAAAATTCCCCCACACCTACCAATGAGAGATAGTGTTCCTAGGGTTAATAGCTTTTTTTTTTTTTCCTTTTCACTTGCCATTCCTGATTCCGATCAAACAATTCAAGCTTCATCACCCTATAAAACAGAGTCCCAAAAATCACCATCTTTTTCCAAGTACGTTTTGATGACTCTTGAGTAAAGGTGTTTTTCTTGGATGGTAACTACTAAGAACATGTTTACTGAGCACCCTACAAGACATATTTACTCTATTGTTTGATAAACCAGAAAGAATATCTTTCAGCACTGGGGTTTTTCTTGTATTCATGAACAATTTTTCTTTACAATCTTAGAGAGCATTTATGCTTATGGCCCCTTCCAGGAAGAGTCACAATAGTTTTGTCTTCCAATATTCTTCCACTATATACTGTATGATTTGGGTAATGAAAATTACTAAATGACAGCTCAAAAAAAGATACAAGAATTCATAATTCTTTATTTTAAATCCTCAGACAATACTTTCACCTTCACCATGTTGTTGATATCTCACTTGAAGTCAAGGTTAACTTAAATTTCTTTTAAAAACCTACAATACACAGATATAGTCTGAGTGTTAACATTATATATTTCATGAATTTCATAAATAATTAAAAATTAATTTCTGGGTCACAGGTAATTTTCCTATTGACAAATTTTTTACTGTGTCAATGATAAGGTATTGAATAAAAGTATATATATATATATATATATATATATATATATATATATATATATATATATATATATACACACACACACACACACACACACACACACACATATATATATATATATATATATATATATAAGACAAAGGTATTATTAGTATAAATATATATAAAATATATGCTATGCATAAAATGCTGAGTACCATTGAGTGGTAAAGAACAAATATATAATTAGTCTTAGTATAAATTTTTACCTGTTATTTTACATTAATCACTTTTTATTATTACTACCAACACTCACTGTATGTTAATATATATATATATATATATATATATCTGGTTGGATAGATGTGAGTTTGTGACCCTGGGTTTCCTGCTTTAGCGATTTATATACACACACTTTTCACACATATATATATATATATATATATATATATATATATATATATATATATATATAGTGGACTCTCCCATCATATTTAACATATGAGGGTCAAGCAGCTCAGTTCCTAGAAACTGACAACCCAGACACCACCATGATTTGAATATAGTGTGCAGAACCATCCACACTTTTTGAAGGGCCGAATACAGAGACCTGGTGCCTTATGTACTACAAGGTCTCCAAATGACCCTCCACAGGTTTTGAATTCAGAGCTGTCCTTCTCCTAAACCAGTTGCCATCAAGGCTACAAGATCCAGTATGTCCTGCTATTTACCCATAGCTGGAGCGAGAAGAAGAGGTTTAATACCTTTCCCAAGGATATTAGAATGTAGGTGAATGTAATGGATTTGAGTGGAATTTGAACTCGACTCTCTGATTCCTCAATCCGAGCCGCTATCCACTACTATATATATCTCAAAATATTATATAGGATTCATTACAAAGAAAGACTAAAAATTATAGAAGTCATTATAATATAAAAGAAAAAACCAACAGTGTGTGTGTGTATATATGCACACAGAGCCCACCCCCAAAAAATGTATACAAAAAACTTGAGCATCTCTTGTGATCATAAATTCCAAAGCTAACTTGTATTAATTTTGTGATGTCTGAATAAATTTAGTATTACAATATCTATACAAGTTTTTTCTTACATGAAGTGTATATTCATTTTTAGGCAGGCTATATATATATATATATATAAATAAACTTTAAATGTATATTTAGTGGATACATGTATGTGCATTTAACAGTCTTAATAAAGGTATTGTGCATTCCAACAAGATTTGAACCTGCATTCCCCTTGTTTACAAAAGGAGAACATTTACAACAAATGTTAGAAGTTCCAGCTGAAATAACACTGAATGCAAAAATAAGAAAATCTTGTCAAAATTCAAATAAAGAATGTTTCCAATACTGAGAAAAAGTTTTTCCTCACATTTTGAAATCCATCCAGCTGCAACTTCAAAAATGCCACCCGTATCAGTGCATGATTCATGGCACAGATAAAGCACAAGTGGGGCAACATATTCCGGCTTCAGGGATTCCACCAAATCTAGCAAAAGAGAACATTTTGATCAATTAAAGATTCTTTGTGCATATTTACCACTAATTTCAATGATTACTTGTAAAGCTTTCATTTACAGAATCATAATATTACGCCTAATCAATAGCAATCCAAGATGCCATTCAAAGGGTTATCATTAAAAGGTTACTCTTGTAGATTGTTGGAGCAATGCTCATGGAAAGGAACAATCCCTATCACAAATTATTTCAAGAATCAAATCCAAACATCTCAGCCACCTATTATGAAGAAGAATCAGTAAAGTGAAAAAAAAAAGAAAATAAAAAACCTGAAAGATCGACAATATTTTCTGATTGCTAAGAGAGACAGCAGCTTTATCAATTTGGTCACAGTGAGCAACCAGCTAGACAAATTTAAATCTAATTATATAGATACATATCCTTTCTGATTCATTTGTTTTGTTTATATTTCTTACAAATAGACATAATAAACTTAAGTTGCCAGAACTTCTTAGAAGCATTTTCATTATTAATGGCATAGAGTTTATTTTACATTTAGTAAAATGAAAAAACAAAAATCAAACAAAATATTTACCTGGAGGCATCACATTTTGGGTCAGTCTTGAACCAGCAAGTGGAGCAATTGTATTACTGGTAATGTTGTACTTTTGACCTTCAATGGCTAAAGTGTTGCTTAATCCCAGCAGACCCATCTTGGCTGGTCAGGCATTTTCAAAAATAAAAACAAGAAAAATAAATTATTAAAACATTTAACAGAAACCTTTTAGTATAAAATGAAAACAGGTTGTTAGTTACCTCCAAATGGCTTTGCCAGTTTTGCCAAGATATTTTTAGGTGGCATCATTAAGCAGCTATAAAAATGGGACACTTCCTGTCTTTCTTCTCTTTTCTTTCCCAGTATGCTGTAGTGATAACACCACCAGGACCTTGTCCAGGCATGGGGATATCTTTCTCTGGATGACAAGTTTTTCATACACATATGCAGATAATTGCTAACTTTTAACGTCATTGTTCTTTCAGGCAAATATTATTAAAAACAACAGGCATTTCGGGTCAATTAATTTTACTGATTGACTTTTCCAAATTATGAATAATCCTTTTCAGACTAGGAAATTCTGTCAGAAATTTTCCAAAGTTTATTTCAGAAAAAAAGTAGAAAAATATGGTGCAGACATCATCAGGGTAGGTAATGTCAATGATGAGTTTCTTAGAACTAGTGAGTGTTGTGATATAGGCAAAGAGAGGTGTGACATGTTTGGTTTTTATATACATTTGAGTATGCATAATAGCATATTTTCTCTCCTTTGTTACTCAGTTCTATAAAAACATGAAAATATTACCTTGTTGAAATTTATTTAATTTCCAGCCACTTCTACCTACAATGACAACCAGTCATTTGCAAGTGTATATTTGGTTTGTCACTACTCTTTGTCTAACTAAAGACCAGCTCTGTGTGTGTTTTTGATTGAAATCAAGATTAAGTTGCTGCATTTTTTGAGAGGAAGGAGTGTCCTTAACTTTGCTATTCATTTGATTTTTTGATATTAGAAAATTTTATCTGAAGAAGATTGGAGAATCAGGCCTGAAACATCACACACACACACACACAAAACAAGTAATAAAAGGTGATTCTTCTTTCTTCTCTTTTATTTAAAGTGAACTTGAAAACTATTAACTTGTTTCTTCCATTTCCCTATCTCCCATGCAACAAGTAATGTGGTATGACGGTGAGCAGGAGACAGACGAGCAGTCAAATGCAAGACAGGTAGGATACAGATGCAGGGCAGGTAAGTGACAAACAAAAATTTGAAAGGAAGCAAGAGAGAATGTCAGTGAGAAAAACAGAATCAGGAAAGAAAAATAAACCAGAATTAGATGGACAAAATGAGGAGGGGGAGAGAGAGAAGGGGAGAGAGGATGAGGGGGATGGCAGGAAATATCAAAAAGCAATAGAAAAGAAGAATGTGCACAAAATCCATGGCAATTTACCTGCACTGTAATTGGCTTGGCCAAAATTTCCATACAATCCAGCTCCAGAGGAAGTCATGATTATCCTAATGAAAACAAGAAAAAGACAATAATTCTTCATGCAATGATAATCAGTGTTCATCTATTCTACATGCTATAACACAGTGACTGAGATAGTTGCATATATCTCACTGGTGTCAACAGTTAATGTTTGAACTAAGGCAAAAGAAATAAAATTCCAAATTTTCAAAGTAGGTTAGCCCTCCCCATTTGTTAAACAAATAAAACACTATCTTCCAACCTACAATTTTTTACATTTGGCTTTGTGCCAATTTAAACTTGTCTTGCAGTTAAGGTAGTTGCATATTTCCTACTGGCACATGGCCAGGGTTCAATTCCAGGTAATAACCCAAGATTTTAAGAATTGACTTGAAGGCTGATATTAATGGTAATAGTAATACAGTGTAACCCGGATATAAGAGAGTTGTTGGGACCGGAGAAGAAGTCTCTTATATCCGTGTTTCTCTTATATCCGGGTTTGGTCTATTTTGTTTAGGTAAGTACGGCTCTAATTTGAGACCAGAGAAAATCTCTCTTATATCCGGGTTTCTCTTATATCCGGGTCTCACTGTATTAGCTGTTTCCTTATGAGAAAACATCTAACATTCATTGATTAAACACTCAATGCTCTGCCAGTTGAAACTTATAAAAATTTTCTATTACAGTAATTTTTCAAGAAAATTGGTTAATCAAGTCTAGTAACTGTTCTTTCCAGATTGATTCCTTCCTAACCTTCTGTTTAGAGTAGTGTGGAATGTCAACATCTTGATTATGCCATTATTTTCTCTTCAAGTTACATGTGCCATTCATTTTAGTTGAGGTTGCTTAACTTCAGTGATCATACAGGACCCTGTATTTCAATGTGATGTTGCTGAAAACCCTAAATCCAATAATGATTCAAGACATTGAAGTTAATGAAAATTAACAATTCTACTTTAGTGGCTGACAAGATATCTCATCAGGAATTTCTTTGTTCAGGGTCATCTTAATCTAGTATGGAATCGGAGAGTTATTTAAGACAATTTATAGATAACGAAAGTAAAGAAAAAGCCAATGAAAATTTCTTTGTTAATGGTTTTTTGATTTTCTATATTTCAGGCCATTTTCTTGGTTTCCAGTGAAAATTTAAATATATATATATTATCCAATGTCCAAGTACTTTCAGCTTTCATTAGCCATTATCTAAGAGTTTTTGTATTTTGTGCTTTATCAGTTTTATTGCTTTTCACTGGCCTTCTTCCCTTGCTTGGGATGAAATGATATTGTATCTTCACACATTGTATTAGTTTTATAAAATGTCACATATTCACATGTCAGTTTGTATTGTTTTTTTGTTTGTTTTTTTTTTAATATATTTAGCATGATTGTTTTGTACCTAAATTTGATAACATTTTATTGATAGTTTCTGTGTGAATTTTATTGATGTTGGGTTGCTGTTTTTTTTTTTGGGAAGGGGTTATTAATGTTTATTGCTTCTGGCATTGGGCAATTTATATTTAAACTTTCATTGGGAATAAAGAAAATGGTCTGAAATATATGAAAAAAAACAAAACAAATAAAAACCTTGAATTTCATTGGTCTTTTTGTTTGTTTAGCGACATATCAATTCTTATGGGTCATTTAATGCAGAAATTTAATTTTCTTGGAAATATTAGTAATTTCTTGTACAAAAATGTATTTCTAATTTTTTTTTCTTTTTCCAAAAAGTATTGCTGGTAATTTTTTACTATGAAAATGTATTACTGGTATTTTTACTATACAAATGTATTTTTATACTTTCATAGTGTTTTGACTCCAGTTTGGGGGTTAACTATTTGCCATAGTTGGGACTCTAACAGGTGTTACCACCCCAGGTCAGGGTGGACCTGGGAACAACAAGCAATTAAGAGGCAGTTCCATGCTCCTCAAAACCTCCCGATCAAAGGTCTTGCTGCTGGATGTAGTTTATTGTCATACCTTGTTGGTTTCTAACCAAACTTGTATAAATTACATTGGTAGTATGAAGAATCATAGGGTAAAACAAAAATTTATAAGAAAAAAAAATCATACCTAGTGGTTAAAAAAAAAAAAAAATCCTAATTCAAAGTAGTTAAATTGAAAATTACTTTAAATTTATATTCTTAGATGCTGAATAAAAGTTGGTGGACATTTATTATTTTTTAATGAAATTTTCTGACCCCGACCACAAGCTTATTAAAACAAGCCAATTTTTAATTTTATAATTTTTGACCGTTAAATGTTTTTGCCAATTACCCTTTTTATTAAGTTCCCACCCCACCTATTAGGCAACAAACATTACTTTTTAAGAAACTCTTTTATAAAACAGACTTTAAGAAAAAATGTCTCACCTTCCATAATTCTGTTTTTTCATGTATGGCCAAGCAGCTCTGGTGACAAGGAATGAACCATGCAAATGAACACGGTAAATACTGTCTGGAAAATGAGAATTTTTTTTTTCTTGTTTTTGTTAAAAGGTCATATCTAAATAGACAAATTTACAAAGGTGAGATAAAAAGAAGTCATTTCAAAAGACAAACCATTTTGGGTCTAGGGATTAACAAAAATAATAATAAAAGTGACAAATTTCAGACATTCAGTGGTGTTTGATTAGCATCAATAAACCTTTTCATTTATTCAAATTATCACCAAAAAAAGGTTAATTTTGTTTGTTAATGAAATACTGATTGCTACCAAATATGCTTTTCAGAATTATTTATTGCACTATTTTTATATTTAAACTTTTAATATTTTCATTTTTTTAACCATATTTAAATATTTTTTACTCTTCTTACATAATTTTTTCAATTCTTAAACAGTACCTGAATGTTGCAAACAGAGAAAAAAAACAAGAAAATTAATTTTTTTAAAAAAGTACATTTTATTCCTATTTTTGTTTTAATTATCAAAAAAATAATTTTTAAATGGAAATAAAACAAATGTTAAGTTCCTAAACTTAATATTTTTTAACAGTATGATGCTCTTTGAAGAATTCTATGCATGATGGTGATTCTTTGCACCAAGTTCTTAGCATTTTCACCCCTTTTTTCTTGGAAAAATATGCTATCTTTGGTTTGTTCTTCCAGCTTTATTTGTAATACTCCAAGAAATGATGTAACCTTAAAATCCTAGTAAATAACTTCATGAATCCTAGAGTTGCCAATTAATCATTTAGACTGAATCATAAAAATTGCCTGTATCATTGGAAAAAGTTTAAAATCATCAATTGATGATACCCACCATTTATGGGTTCATTTTTTTTTATCATTTTAAATTTAATATGAATTAGCATTTACATTTTTTTTTTTATTACTAATTCTGTTTTTAACCATTAATTTATTGACTTTTACTTTTTTTTTATTTTAAGTAAAAGGAAAAAAGGACAGAAAACATGTATTTATAAATTATAACAAAAGTTGAAATCATCACTAATGTTATATTGCAAGCTATTTTTTGTAAGTCATGGTATCATGGGTAGGACTAATTTAAAAATGCATTGGCACTTTCATTCTCTCTAATGACTGTATATATCATAAAGAAAAACAATTTCTGGTGATAGAGGATAAAGAATAATAATCATAGCATAGCTATATATAAGCACATACCATGTTGCAATCTGAGATATAAAACATTTTCCATGTAACATATTTTGCCTTTTGATGTTTAGGTTTATGTGATTATACATGCGCATGAGGGAAAGGGGATGCTGAAATTTTAGATTAATGTTTTTTTTAGATATTTTTTTTTATGTGTAATCACATCAACATAAACATCACATTACTTTGATGAAGTCCTAAAAGCTAAAACACAAAAGAATTTTTCTGTTTTGTCATACATTTTCCTAAATTTGTTCTGATATATAAAAATTTATATATCATTTTCCCATAAATATATATATATATATATATATATATATATATATATATATATATATATATATGTGTATGAATTATTCACAAAAACTAATGCAAAGGTTAATGCTTTAAATGGCGAGACATCCATCATCGCAAACAATTCAAATAGTATACAAAAACCTCCAGATCCATTATGAATGAATTGATCCTTGTTTATATAAATTATTGCCGTATTAGTTGTTATTTTTACTACAAGCTTTCCTCTGTTCCTACAGACATCTTCAGGTATAGAATAGATGTTGTTCTTGGTTTTTTCTCTTAGTAATAAGAGGACAATGAAAATATGTGTTGTTGTATCCGAAAATGCTATTGAAAATGAGTTATTGGTTTTGGAACGCGCCAAAGCAACGCTGAGTTTGATTTTAAATTTTAAAGTGTTTGCGTTTATACCAAATATGGTGTTGAACAAATTTTTTTACTGGTAAATTTTTCTGTCAAAGTGGCATGAACTATATTGTTCAATAATTACAGTAATGTCGCACTTATTATCCAAAAGTCTCACATGGATCAGTTATTTAAATTACGATAAACGTGCAATCAATTTACAAATTCATGAATTATTCACACAAAACTAATGCAAAGGTTAATGCTTTAAATGGCGAGACATCCATCATCGCAAACAATTCAAATAGTATACAAAAACACCATATTTCAGTATGTCAGTAATCCTAATTTATTAGAAGAATAAGAGACATTTTAGCCAATTAAATTTAACACTAAGCATATTCTTTTCTGTTTGAATTTTCAGGATGATCTGGGTGTAGGGATACAGAAGGCACTTATTTCTATTTGGTAGAGATAAGTCACATGATATCTGCTTAGTGATGTCACTCCATACATTCAGTTTGTTTACTGCAGCCACCACATGAAGTTGCTATCTTTTAGCCTGGGCCAAGGAGCCCATGCTGAGGCTAAATCTGCCTCCCCCAGCAGCTTACAAGTCCACAGATATAGAAAAAACATTTCCAGTTTGCAGTCCTCAATATAGGAAAACCCAAGACTCGCTGTTTCTCATTTGTGGAATATGTCCTCACTTGGGACATAGATGGATCTGGCTTGTTTGAATCTGAAGTCTTAAACAGGGCTTCTTCAGACACAGGAGTATCTCCATATTATATGTAAGACCCATCTTTTTGGTTTCTCCTTACACTGTGCTTTGCTGTAGAGATATATATTATTCTCTGCATGAGACATGTGCATATATAGTTTTGTGTATTTCTTAGTTATATAAAAATCTCTATTAGAACACAGCATGTTTGCTATTCCTTTTCCTTTCAGCCATTCTGTTCCATCCATGAAGTACAGTGTTATTATAACACAGATATAATAATGCCCATAACAGGAAAATACAAGTTGGAGAATAAACCATTCTTCTTTACCCCCATAGATTGAATAAAAGGAATTCCCTGTATGTTGCCCAGATCGATATACACCCAAGGAATGCTGCAGGGCACAATGGTCAAAACGAAGATGAGGACAGCAGTCCAAATATTAATAGTGTCAATAAGCATCTTCTGGTTTCAATAATGTAAATGTGTTTTTATTAAAAGCACAAAGCTATCAATCATTGCATCAATGAAAACTGTGAATTGAGAGCAAAATTCCTTACCCCAATCTTCTTTACTGATTCGAGAAAATGAGCGATCACGTAAAATGCCAGCATTGTTGACAAGGATATCTGAAAGGGAGAAAATTTACACCTGTAATCAAATTTGAATAGAGTAAAATATAAAGATATTAAAACATCTATAGTGTGAGCTTTAAAAAATTATTTATATAAATAAATACTTCTTATTACTATAAATGTCATTTTAGTGGATACAAGTGCTCAAGTAGACATCAATCTTCTACTCTGAAACTCTTCCAGAGATTCAAATAATTGATTCAAACCGTTGCTGCTTCCAATGAGACTAACCCCTTGTGGAATTAAAAGATAGTGCACAATATTGCATCAGGATAACACTTTGTGACCAGGTAAAAATTGTTACAGATTAGCATATTTAATCTACCAGTGGACACTGTTCCAAATATGGGATGGTGGGCACTAAGAGGTTTTATGTTGAAACTTATAATACTGGATTTTTGGTCCTTTTTTTAATAGTTAATACTGGATCTTTTAATAAAACCTATTTTTCATACCAAATCTTTTTTTTTTTTTTTTAAAACCTATTGTTAATAATGCCACATAGCACTTCTGTATTTTTCTTTATTAAAAATAAAATTGTTCCATTTCTTAGTACTTTGCTTAGAGGCCTTCCAAAAACTAAGCAAATATTAAGAAAGAGGAAAATTTTGTTAGAAAGAAGAGATTGAGGAATCGGAGAGCTGAGTTTGAATTCCAGTTGAATCCATTACATTCACTTACGTGCTAATATCCTTCTTCCCCCCAGCTATGGGTAAATGGCAGGACAGACTGAGTTCTATAGCCTTGGATGGCAATTGGTCTACCACAGAAAGAAATGGCAACCTTCTACAAGAAAAAAAATCTGCCTCATCAGTCATGTATCGAAAGATACACGATTGCCTAAGCATGTATCACACATGACACATAATTGACTGTAGGAGATACAGTGGAGTAATGGAAAGTGTCTCAGATTGAGGAATCGGAGAGCCTAGTTCAAATTCCAGTCAGATCCATTACATTCGCTTATGTTCTAATACCTTGCAAAAGGTATGAATTCTCTTCTTCTCCCCCCAGCTACGAGTAAATAGTAGGACAGACTGGGTTTTATAGCCTTGGATGGCAACTGGTCTACTGCAAAAACAAATGGCAATGTACTGCAAGAAAAAATCTGCCTCGTCAGTCATGTTTCGAAAGATACCTGATCGCCTAAGTGTGTATCATGCATGGCACATAACTGACTGATATTCACTTACATGTTAATATGGGATGGTGAACATTAAGAGGTTTTATTTTGAAACCTATAATACTGGATTTTTTTTTTTTTAAATTAATATTGGTCCTTTTTTAATAGTTAATACTGGATCTTTTGATAAAACCTATTTTTCATATCAGATCTTTTTTTTTTATGAAACCTACTATTAATAATGCCACATAGCACTTCAATATTTTTCTTTATTAAAAATAAAATTGTTCCATTTCTTAGTACTTTGCTTAGATGCCTTCCAAAAACTAAGCAAAGTAATAAGAAAGAGGAAAATTTTGTTAGAAAGAAGAGTGCTTAAATGCTACATAATATCAATCCTCCTATATGGCAGTGAATGATCTCCTCATTAGATGTAGAGAAGGCTTGAGGTAACAGAAATGTGGTTCTGCAGAAGGATGTGGAGAATATCATGGATGGAACATGTGAGCAATGAGAAAGACTTAAGAAAAATGGGAGCATAAAGGACAATTAGAGTCAGAATCAAAAAGAGACACATGAAGAAGGAGGACTTGGAAAATTTGACACTCATGTTACATATCTACGGCAAAAGAGACAGCAGGAAGTAGTGGGTCACCTACCTGATGAGCTTATGCGGATGGATGGGAGAATGGGGAGTTTCAGAGATCATAAAAAGATAAATATTACTAAAAGCTACAAATGATAGGAAGTTGAGGAGAGCCATGATCGCCCACTTCCTAAACTGATACAGCACATAGAAGATTGTTAATACCAGATTTTTTCTATATACATATTAATACTGAATATTTTTTTTATAGACCTACAGTTTATAATGGAATTACATAAACCTATAATACCAGATATTTCTAATAAAACTTATAATACCAGATATTTTTATAAAACCTATAATACTGGACTATTTTTTAAAAATTTGTAATTAATAATAAAGAAAAGGAATATATAGAGAGTCATGATTGACAACGCCCTGAAGAGACATGGCATCTTATGCATTTATAATTAATACTGTTTTTTTTTATTATTAAAATCAGATTTTACAGTGAGCATTAATGGTTTAAGTATCAAATGTGAATATAACTTGATTCCTGAAACTCTCAATATGGCAAATATCATTACACACAAAACAAACAACTTACCAATTCTTCCAAAAGCATTGACAGCAGTCTGAACCAGTTTTTCACCTTCTTCAACTGAATCTAAAATCAGAAAGAATTTGTTAAAATTAATAAATAGAAGGCAATTTTTCTTTTTACCGAAAAATCATATTTCAACAGTATCTGTTTGTTGTTTTTGTTTTAGATAAGTTTCAAAACCATATTACCTCATGTTCAAACCGATCCCCAAAGTGCTTTCGACACTAAAACACTGTGCTCACTTGTGAATATATGGAAACACAACATGTTAGATTTTGATTCTATTTTTAGTTTTGTTGGGAAAATATTGAATGAAAAATTTTAATATCATTTTACAATAAATGAAAATGTTTTCTTTACTACAAGTGTCATACATGTTTACATTAATTTTATATACCTTTGGCACCAACATGCAGAAAATAAATGTGTGTGTGTGCACAGATGCACACTTCCAAGAATTAACCCAATCAATCTAAAAGATTTTAACAGAATTCTGATATCATGACCAATAACTGGCAAACTTTTTTCATTTTTTAATCAATTCACCCCAAGCAAGGTGATAATGCCACTAAGATACAAGAGGCAACTGGAAATGAAGAAAAAGACTTTAGAAGGTACTGGAAACCCAATCCTAAACAGGAAACAAAGGATAAACCTCTACTCCTATTCAGAAGACTGGGGAGGAGTATGAACTGGACAATAATTGAACATAGCTACTTCGCCAAAAATGTGAAATGACTTTCTGATAATTGTAAACTAAAAATTTACAAAGAAATCATTGTGAAGTGGCTTGCTTTTTTGACTTTCATTCCATTAAATAAATCATCTAAGAAATATTCTAGGAAAACTGTTACAAGACAAAATATTTACAAAATAAATTTCAAAATCAAACTTACGATAATCTGCAACTGCTTTTCCTCCTTTGGCTTGAATTTCATTGACAACTTTATCTGCAGCAAGAAGACTGTGTCCACTCCCATCAGGACTGCTCCCTAAGTCATTCACTAAGGAAATGAAACACAATGGAAAAGAAATCTTTGAAATATAAAGACACATTTCTTAGCTGAAACATTTTCAGTATTCAGTCTTGACTTGTTCTTACTTTCATCTAATTTTGTAGATATAATCAATGTGTGTGTTTTTAATTTTTTCATTATTTTTTTTTGATTAATTATTTATTGACTATGTAGGTATAGATGGTAGATTAAATGATCATATATATTTATATATGAGGTCTGATCAAAAAGTATCTGGACTGTTGCTGTGATAACAGAGCTAAAGTGTGCACAGTGAAGCTGCTTGGCACAGATTGATACATGCACACTAAGCTATAATGTTTTTACTTACTTCTGTTGTTTATAGCAGTGTTTGGAAGGATAGTGTGTAGAGTGTGGTCGTCTCACCACACCAGAATTTTCACCAGCGACCATGGCTTGTTCAGCAGTGTTTGAGCAAGCATAACATTCTCCATGTCTGAGAACCACAATATATTCCCTTGCAATTTCCTCTTTCCAAAAATCAAATCCCACTTGAACAAGATTTGAGGAAATGCAAGAGAATGTATTGAGACAGCTGCTTATTATCCAAAAAAATGAGGTACAGTAATGCTTCCATTAATGGAAATGATGCGGGATAAAGTGTGTGACTTTAGTTTTGTTGAGTTTTTTGTATTGGCAGAGGTACAGTGGAGTAATGAATAACAGCTTGGATTGAGGAATCAGAGAGCAGAATTCGAATTCCAGTCAAATCCATTACATTCGCTTACGTGCTAAGACCCTTGGGAAAGAGTATGAATCCTCTTCTTTTCCCCCCAACTATGGGTAAATAGCAGAACAGACTGGGTTCTATAGCCTTGGATGGCAACTGATCTACTGCAGAAAGAAATGGTAACCTACTGCAGGAAAAAATCTGCCTCGTATCGAAAGATACATGATTGCCTAATTGTGTATCATGCATGGCACATAAATGACTGAATACTATATAGCTTTTGGAATGCATCTTTTGTTAATCCAAAGTGTGTTCAAATTTTGTTATCACAGTTTCCATTCGCACATTGAATTAACGGAAGATGCTAAGCAAAGTATTAAGAAGCAGAAAAAATTTCATTAGGAACAAAAAAAAATGTGCTGGATTGCTATGTGATATCTATCCTCTTATATAGCCGTGAATGCTGAATAATCTCCCCACAGATAAAGAGAACACTGGAGGCAACAGAAATTTGGTTCTACAGAAGGATACTGAGAATTCAGTGAACATAGTGAGCAAGGAATGAGAAAGTCTTAAAGAAAATGTCAACAAAAATGCTTATGCTCAGAAGCAGGAAGAGACAGCTCAAATTTCTTGGACACATCATGAAGGGGGAGGACTTGGAAAACTTAATCCTTACAGGTTGAGAGAGATAGGGGAAGACAGCAAACCACCAACCTGACTAGCTTGTGTGAATGTATAACAGAAAGGGAAGCAAAAAGAGAAAAACTGTTAAGGATCACAAAGGATAAGAAGTTTTGGAGAGCCATGATCACCTATGCCCTGAAGGGAGGCAGCACATAGAAGAAGAATATTATATATTGGTCCAGATCTGCCATGTAGTGCTCAGTTTCCATACTCTTAGCAGCCTGGTGATATGGTTTCAAAAGAACTCCACCAGTCAACACACTGGTTTTAGATAATGCTGGTGGTGTAATGAATGGTGGCTCAGAATGAGAAATCAAGTTAAAATCCCAGAGTCAGGTTTGTTATATTCTCAATTCACATGCAAATACCCTTCGATAGATAACAGTCTGTTTCATGCTTCAATCTAATTCTCAAGCCATGAGTGTTGTGTTTCAGCCCATCTATTTATATATGCTGGTCAATGATGCATTATGGATAGTAAGGTCTATTGTAATATCCTGACAATTATTAGGAGGGTGGTAATGGTTATGCTTCAAATTATTCTCCAGCCATGGTTCTTAAGTGGGGCAATTTAAGAATGAGTTATTAACAGTGAAATTTTTCTAGTGAGTATGTATGAGTGTGTATGTGAGAGTTAATATATATAGTGCATATACATTATGCATACATAAAAATATTTGTGCGTATGTATGTACTATAGAGGCCATTTTAAAAAAAAGAGCACTGCAAGTTAAAATAATTTAAATTAACAACTGCTTAAAATTTTATAAGTCATTATTAATAACTTGCCAGCATCTGCACATAACAAAAGTGACATAAACTATGCCTTTGGGTACAAAATTAAGGGATTTTGAAAATGGTCAAATAATCGCAACTCAAAAATGAAAATTTGAGTAGTAGAGAAATTGCTGTTAGGATTAAGCATTCAAAGATGGTTATTAACAACTTTTTATCAAACACAGAAGAATATGGAGCCAGGAAGAGAGCCAAAAGAAGCAAGAAATTAAGTGACAGGGATGTCAGATCAATCAAAAAAGAAGCAAGCAATGCTGTCACACTCCATGTTTGACTGAGCACCATATGTCAGAGTGCTTTAATTGGGCTAAAGCTCTTATGACTTGGGACAAGCAATAGGAAGGTGTGGCATTTTCCAACAAAAAAAAAATCTAATTTGGATGGTCCGGATGTGTTATCTTATTATTGGCATGAACTTAGAAAAGAGAAGTTTGTCTTTTCCAAGAGTGTGCAAGGAGGAAGGAGTGTAATGATTTGGGGGATATTCAGATTTTGCTTTGTGCATTTTGAGATAGACCATAAAGTCTGGATGTTTTAAGGTGGTATTTTATTAATTTTGACCATGACTTGTCCTCATTATTTAATTAACTTGCTAATTGCTTTATTAAATTTTAAGTTTTGGAAATTATTTTGTATTCATCAATTTTCTCACACATCAATGAGCACAAAAAAAAAACAAATAAAAAATAAATAAAAATAGAAATTTTAACACCACTTCATGTGAAAATTAACCACTGATATATTAAATAAGAAAATTAATTCAGGGATTGAATACTTTTATATACACCTGCATATAGAGGTGTAGGTATATATCCCAAATATAATAATAAAATTAAAAGTAAACTGAAATCAAAAAAAAAAAAATAATAAAAAAATAAAATACTTACCAACAACACTGGCTCCTCGTTCAGCAAAAGCTAATGCATACTGCCTGCCCAGACCTTGTAGAAGTAAATGAAGTAATAACATAAAAAGCAAAAACCTATCTCTCTGAAATTAAACTGTTAAAAAGAAATATTTGAAGGGACTTATTTTTAAAAAATAATAATAAAAAAAAAAAATAGCAGCAGTATTGGAAAAAAAAAAAAAAAAGAAGAGATCTTGGATTTCTTGGAGATTTCATGGAAAATGTTTGTCAATTAATCAGTTGGGAGCAGCTGATATCTTGTAAGAAATTCCTTTGTTCTCTGGAATGGCTGATGAAACATCTCTGAAGGAATCTCTTTGTTACAAGCCTTCTTACTCTGGAGCTCTGGAAGTGAACCAGATCATAATTCAAAATTATTTGCCGATGATAAAAGCAATTATTATCTTTGAGTAAACAAAATATTTTGCAAGAAATGCCTTCTTTTCCAATAGGAATGATTGCAAAATACTTTCCCTCCCCAATTTACAGACAGAAAAACATAATTGTGCAAGCTAACCATTTAATATAGGGATACACAGTGGAGTAATGGATAGTGGCTTGGATTGAGGAATTGGAGAGCCAAGTTTGAATTCCAGTCGAATCCATTACATTCACTTATGTGCGAATACCCTTCTCCCCTCAGCCATGGGTAAATAGCAGGACAGGCAGATTTCTATAGCCTTGGATGGCAACAGGTCTACCACAGAAAGAAGTAGCAACCTATGCAGGAAAAAAAATGGCCACGTCACTCATGTATCGAAAGATACATGATCACCTAAGCGTGTATCACGCATGGCACATAACTGAACTGAAGCATTTAATAAAGACAAAAAAAGCAGTGTATATCATTTTATTATAGAAATGTAGGAAGAAAGAGGTCAAGAATTTCTCAGTAGTCAGGAATGGAGGCAAGTATTAAATGAATGTATAATTAAAAGACTTTACAAGTCAAACAATCACCAATTTATTTTTAAACACAATTTAAAGAGTCTATCCAGCATCCTTTCTTGAAATGATATCTCAGTTCCTAGTCTTCATTACCTTTATCTCCAATTGCTGCTCCTCCTCCTCCTACTGAGACTAGTTTTTAACTTGACATTTGTCAAAACACTTAATTGGGACATTGTTGCTTCTATTGATAAGAGTTGGAATTTAGAAAGCTGTCAATTAGAGAAAACAATAAACAAAATAGTTCAATGTTCATCCCAGTTTTTACTTTGAGTGTCAAATGACACGGGTAGACTTCAGGATGGTGGGGGAGCAATACTCATATGACAAATCCAGCTCCTTTGAGCTTAATAAATTTATTTAGGTTAATACTTGGCTGAAGACAATTGCAAGCATAAAGTTATCCTGAAATTCTAATTCATTCGTATCTGGATTTCCTTCAGTTTTGAGACTCAAATTCTGAGACTTGATGTTAAAATAAAACATGACAAACCCTAGATTTACTCATACAAACTTAAGAATATGATAACCAGCTTTAACAACATCTTTCTAAACACATGCCCATATATATTAAGTCAACATTAGAAGTAATCCAAATCCTAAAAAGTGAAAAACCCGACAATGAAATCATAGCTTCACTTGATGTTGAAAACTTCTTTACCAATGTCCCTGTTAATGAAACTATTGACATAATTATAAGAAATATATACAGTAACTCATCTTTACCCCCACTTAAAATTAATCCTAATATATTACGGAAACTACTATTAGCTTGTACTACTGAAGTCCCTTTCTTTGAACATAATAATAATAATAATATATATATACAACGTGATGGTGTCTCCATGGGTTCAGTACTGGGTCCGACATTTAGCAATTTCTACATGTCGAACCTTGAAAATAAGATATTTACAGATTTTAAAAAACTATCCATCTACCTAAGATACGTTGATGATATTCTTATGTTAGTTAAAAATACAGATGAAATAATTCAACTTCAAAAACGTTTCCAAAATAATTCTGTCCTTAAATTCACATATGAACTCAATACTAATAATAAAATTCCCTTCCTTGACATATTGATAAACACAAATAATAACAAATTTACTATTTTGCCATACAAAAAGCCTACAAGCATAATTTCATGTACACTTAACTACAAGAGTGAATGCCCATATTACTACAAAATAGCAATTATAAAGAATCTAATACATTGTGCAGAAACTAATTCATCCACAAAACAGATTTTTTACAGTGAACTAAAGAATATAAAACAAACACTTATTAATAATAGCTTCCCAAACTATATAGTTGATGAATAAATAAGATGCTTTCTTAGAAATCTCAATACTAAGCAAATAGTACATAATACTGCTTCTACTAATCTCAAACATATTAATCTCCTATATCATAATCAAATCCATACTAATTATAAACAAGATGAAAATATACTAAAAAATTTAGTAAATACTAATATATCAACAACAGATCTTAGCAAAAAAATTAAGTTAATCATATACTACACTAAATCTAATATATCCAACTTAATTATTTGCAATGATTCTTCTTCTCTAGTTAGCAATTTTCAAAAAACCAACATAGTTTACAAATTAAAGTGCTATTTGGGAGATTGTATCTCCAACGAATTAAATAATATTTGTGTTGTCACACCACAAACTTGCTTTCACGACGCTTGACACTACATTTGAATGAAAACTAACATTTTTAGGCATTTAAAACAACATGCCTGGCCGCATACACAATTCCGTAAAATCCTTGTCAAAAACATAATTATACTTAAACATGAAAACAATAAACAAAAACTAAAAATTCTTGAAGCTACATACATAAAACAGTTGAAACCTAACCTAAACAAAATAAACTATGTAACCTCCACAAATATCCTTAAATGTCTATAATTGATAACAGAAGCCATTGGTTTATACCAACGGCTTCCCATACTTAATACTTCTTGAATTCACTCTCGTGTGGTCATGTGTGACGTCATGAGCTGTGGTGTGATTTTCGCTTCCAGTGTCTTATATGCATGTGTTTATCATTGCTTGGAAATCATCCATGTAAACAGAAACAGACTATCATCACATTGTTGTCCGTGTATTGCTTAATATATTGTACAGTAATTGTCATCTTTGATAATGGCTTATGTAAGCCGAAAGCTTAGATTGGATTAAAAAATATGGATCAATATTGTGATTTTCTTTCTTCATTTAATGATAATGTTATTAAGCTTATAAGACGTTATGAAAAGAATTTACATAAAATAGACAACACTTGTCTATATTATTTAATGAAACATGTATGAATATATATATATATATATATATATATGAAACTCGCCATTTGTCTCTACCTACCCTGATGATGACTTAAGAAAATCATAAAACACCTACAAACCATATCTATAACACAGTTTAACCTGACAGAATAAAATTGCATACAAAATATCTGTAGCTGAAGCCATAAAACTGCATAGAAAATATTTAGATTTCAGCATTAAATAACCCATAGAGGTGTCGATATACCACTAAACAAAAACAACCAAACTATTGACTGAGCAGGGAAAATAGTTTTTGGAAGAGTGGAAGGTTCAATTGCTCACTCTCCTACACTTCAATTTTATGATCTTTTTTATCATAAGTGTGAAAGACAGTTATTAAATACAAGTGATTCAGGCAATTAAATACAATAAGGAGATTAAATACAGAGGATTCTTCTCTTTCTATGCACCATATCCTTTCAGGACGTGGAGGATCATAGTTCTCCACAACTTCCAGTTCATTGTACTTCTTAGCAATGTTTTTCTTTTTGCTATCTCTCCTAATCACTGTACTGCCAACTATTTACACAAGCTTGTTAGGTTATTCACTGCTTTCTGTGAGTGTCAAAATTTCCAGACCCTCTTTCCTCATTATGTGCCCTAGAAATTTAAATTGTCTCTTTTTGATTCTATGTATCTTTTTTCTCATTGTCATTGCTCACATGTTCAGTTCATGTCATTCTCAGTATCCTGCATTGAACCACATTTCTGTGTCCTCAAGCCTCTTCATTGTGAGGAAATTGTCCAGCATTCAATGCCATATAGAAGGACTGATATTATATAATAGTTCAATACTCTTTTCTTTGTTTCTAATGAAATTTTCCTGTTTCTAAATACTTTGCTGAACTTTTGGAAGGAATCTTGTGCTATTTCAATGCACCATCAGATTTCAGTGTCGCATTTTCTGTCTGTGGCAAATGCATGTCAGTACAGATGCAAAAAAGGCATCAGCATGCAGACATTTTTGCCAACACCAGTTACATTCGGGTTTTTCCCCATTAACATAGGGACAGTTTGGTATGTCTTGATACAGAGATCTCTGCAACTGGTCAAGATCTGGGTCTTTGTAAGATGCTTCATGCCAATAAAAGTAGAGTGAAAACCAGCAGTCAGTAGTTGGCAAGACAGAGCGTCTTGAGAAGTCAGTCCTGTGGGCATTTTTGTTCAAGTTGCTGAGGTTTCCGAGGCAGTATTATTTTTGTCACCTCCCATCTCCCTCCTCTCTGCCTATTACCCCTGTAGTTGTTGGGAGAGCAATCAGTTAAGTGTTTCACCACAACCTCAACACACTCTTGCCATACATTACAACACTTTTCTCTGTTAAAACATTTCACAGATATTTAAGTTTTTTTTTGTCCCCAATTCATAGTTTACATAAGGCAATTAAAAAATATGGTCTAAATAACATATACCCCTTTTTTTCTCAATAATAGCCATCTTAAAAACACTAGTCAATTGTAAAATAAAACTTGCATTATTTGTGATAAAACTGAATTAAGAACAAGAATGAAATGTAAATTTAATCTATCTCATAAAATATATAAGAGCTGATTTTCTGTCCATCACACACTGTGTGAGACTTCGCATGCATGTATGTATATAATCTATATCTGTATTGTACATAAGTGACTTACTCTTATTCAACATATTATTACAGAACCACCAGTAGTCATGAACACCAAACTTGTTAGAGGTTATACAGCACCTCATTCTGTTAGCAAACAAAGACATGTGTACAATTATTATGAGCAAACACCAAGAGGCATCTGTTGTGATTGGAACTATAACACTGGTGCAGCTGGAGAAAAGGTTTGACAAACATGCTTTATTCTCAGAAAGAATTTTATACTATTGTCATATCCAAAATTATATATATATATATATATATATATATATATATTTACATGTGGCCCACACAGAGAAACTACATATCTACACAACAAGCTGTGTGAAAAGAGAATGAAACGATAGGGTCTCACATATAATATGAAGATTCTTCTATGTTTCTGGAGAAGCCATATTTAGGATTCCAGATTCAAGTGGGCCAGATTTATCTGCTATGTCCCTAGCAAGGACATATTCTGCAAATGGAGAACAGAGATTCTTGGGTTTTTCCCAACATAAAAACTGCAAACCAGAGATATTTTATATATCTGGTGAAGATATATCTCCATAAGAGAAGGCAGATTTAGCCTCAGCACAGGCCCAAAAAGCAACAGCTTGGTTTGACTCCTGGAAGCTAACTAAGACTGCCACTTTCATCACTATACAGTGACATCACTAAGCAGCTGACATGTGACCCACATGACTGCATCTCCATCAATGGGAGATAATTACCTTTGGTATGCCTACAAAACCATTGCTTAAATCCACTAGATTATTGTTATCATAGAAATCCAGATGGGAACCTTTTCTGTGACATAGTAATTGTGAGTTCCATCTCTGGTCTGGGTAGTACAGACTTAGACTCAGTGGAAACAGAAGCAATTGATAACTGAGCAATGCTAAATAACATGATATAACTGGACATAGACAGCAGAATGAAAAAATCTAACACAGTGGATTTGTTGCAAGGTGTAGATGATTTTTGGTAAATATTTAATGAGTCCTGGAATATTTGTCCCACAAAGAATATTTAGCGGACTCATGTGACTCCAGGCAAAAATAATATTTATAATAATTTTATAGACTTAAACAGCGCCAACAAATGGGCGTTTGACGAAGACTAAATAAAGTAAAAGGATACAGTTCGAAATTCTCTGACAGATACCTAAAGAAGGAATGCAATCACAACAACTGAAACAGTGTGATAATTAAATTACAACACTGATGAGGACATTAATCAGAAGTAATGATAACAGAACTCCTCAATTCATAAGCGGAGAACTTTTGTTTTTCTATGTTGAAGACCGATTTTTAAAATTCTTTTTGTATTGTATCGTTGCTTACTTTTTATAATTTATCAATTACGTAAAGTATCTTGCATTGTTAGGTTTTACTTTTAGATCAGCACCTATCACATGGTACTATTTCGTATTTTAGTAGGATCGGTAAAAACAGTAAAAAAAACAACACTGAACAAGTGTACTGTTTTAGTTAAAAATGTTTGTTTAAGTTAGTAACTACCTCCCCCCCCCAATAAATAAAATAACCACTCTGACACTTTTGGAAATACGGCATGAAAACAAAAAATAAATAAAGACAAAAAAAGAGAATTCAATATTTGCCAGGAAGGAAGTTACATGGAATCTCTAGATTTAATTTATTTATGTAAAAAAAAAAAAACTAACAACAAATAAAGTCTTCGATTCAATTTCAAGTCGATCATTGAGTAGGTCTATTTATTAACAGCAGATATCATATTTTGAATTAGAAAAATGATAAACAAAACCTCAACTTATTTCTGATTGATTATTATTTTATTTTCATTGACACTTCCTTAACGAATAAAAATGCAGGACCCGAAACAAGTCTGTGATTGACTGACACAAGAGAAAAATTTCATCTTTTACATTAGCATTTAGATCATTTTCATTTTATGTTATAAAAATAAAATCTTAATCTTATTTTCAATATGTGTTTTTTTTTTTCAGGGGCGGATACTGTCACTCTGGAACTAAGATATTTTTAAAATTTTAATTCTAAAGTAAATTCTGTTTGTTGCTGAAGGCTTTACTACTCACTGAGATTCAGATTGACATTCTTCCAAATTATCTTCAAATTTTACACTTTTAATTAAAACTAAAAGAATGTTTTCTTTTTTAGAAGTTCTTAAACACTTAACCAATTTTCATAAGTAATAATAATAAACAGGGATAAAAAAACAAAAAGATTTTTAAAATCGTATTTATTCAGATGTCGCTATTTTTTTTTTTCGGATGGTCATATTATTTCATTAAAAATGCGACAGCTGAGTAAGATGGTAATATTTTTTTTAACCTGACCTTATCAGGAGAGCAAAGGCACAAAACATGATTTATTTTACAATGTAAAATATAAAAAAAAAACAAAAAACTTGGGCGTCTCATATAGTTCATGTTTCATTGAATACTCACTAGTGTAGAGAATTGTTCCAGAACAGATCACAAAGTAACACATATAGTAGATATTATACTATTGTACATAATTTTTTGTATTAATTTAAAAACAGAGAATGTTACCTCCTCCGGCTCCTGTTATTAAAACCACGCGACCATCGAAGCGCATTTGGGAAGAGGCCATGTTTATGATGAAATTGAACTTTGAATGTAAAATCAAAGGGAGATCACTCTAGCAGCTTAACTAGATTAACTTCCCTTTAAAAGTTAGTTTGCCTTGCTAGAATTATGACTGAGTAGTGGGCTCGATCTTCACAATCCACCCCATACTCGCAGCCTTGTGCCACATCTAAGCTACACTTAGTCTCTCAAACTGATAATGGTATAAACATTTTCTTTCTTTTTTTTGCTTTATGAATATAGACGTTCAAGACAAGGAGACTCATTGAAACTATCATCATGTGTCATTAAAACACTGCATTAGTTGAGGATTTCTAAGATAGATAAAGGCAGACCATAGACTTTCTACTAAGCAAGTCTTTGTTTTTTGTTTTTTTCAGTTTTGTCTCTTATGATTTGTGGTGTTACCAAAAGTTGCACAACATTCAAGAAAAGAAAAAAAGCAGAGAAAATAAAAACAAACACAAACAACATTACTAAATTCAACAATATTTATTTTTTTTATTTAAAAAAATAAAGAAAAATGCTGGATAATATTTACTTCACTATGAGAGAGAAAATTAATTTGCTCTTGCATTTATCAGGAAACTGTCCATGTTTATTTGAATGTTTTTTTTTCTTTTTCAAACTGCCAACTGGACGCTAGTTGGGCTTTCCTATTCATTCTTACTTCCAGTTCTCTTGCCCTTTATTACTTCTGGTTACCAAGGATCCTTATCTTCTGGCATTCCTAGTCTTTATTATTTCCAGCTATCTTGAATCCTTACTTCTGACAAACCTGATCTAAACTACTCAGACATTGACACAACATTGATTAATATTTTCCTGCCACTTAATCATAGATTTCATCAATGGACTTAACCAGCAACCACACAATGCCAGCACCCCTCTAATCTAACTCCCTGTATCTCTCTCTCCAATCTAAAAAACCATAGTTGATCAACCTTGCATTAAAATGGACCTGCTTTATTAAGAGGAAAGACCAAAGTTTTTTTAATTAAAAAATATTTCCCTTTTTTAGAACATTCTAAATTTTGAAAAAAACTTTTTTTCTATTTGTATCAGGTTAGTAAATACCATAGACAATTTTTAGCTTTTTTGGTATGACACATTAATTTGAAAAATCCCAAAAATAGAAATAATTATCGGATGTTAATGAAACTTTCAGGAACTATTCACAGATGATCTTATTATAAATATGTTTTTTTATATGTCAACCTAACTAATTTTACCTGGTTTATTTTAGTGATTACAATAATTAAAAGCATTTGAGGAATGCAAATGGGATTTTTTTGTTTTTAATTGGATACGCAACCTGAAAATCAGGGACAATAAAACAAAGAAAAATTTCAAATGCTTTTATTTGCTTTTAGTTGTTTTTATGAATATGGACAATATTTTCTGAAAGCAAAAAAAATTTTTTCAATGAAAATGAATTTTTAATACAATTATTTGTTATTTCATTAATTATAATACTTTTATTTCACAAATCACATTTTGACTAATCAGAAGATACACATAATCGAAATTATAAAATACAGTCAGAAAAATAACTTGTTCTCCGCTCCAAAACAAGCATTTCAACTGAGAAGCATCAGTATCATCTTAAAATTTATATGATCTTATTTTTATATTAATCTTTTTTCCTCCCTAATTCAAATAAAATAACAACTGCATTTTATTTTATGACCAAAAATTTCATAAGCATTTTTTTCTTAAGAAATATGAAATTTAATGTCACTTTAACAGTTTTATTTTAATTTCTTTACAATATATTTCCCATAAAGCATCATAAACGTGGAAAGAGATTAGATGTTAAAAATAACAAATAATTTGTTCACGTAAATGTAAATTATTTAACTTTTCTCCTTCCGTAGAACAAATTAGCAACTCATTCATCACATGTCAACAGACTTTTACTTTTATTTTCAAATTACATTTTTTGGCAAAAAGCTTCAAATATTTTAAATAAACATTATAATTCAAAATAAGTTTTGAAAAATGATAATTGATATTTAAAAAAATTTTAAAGTCAGATTTCCAGAAAAAATAGTCAATTTGTGCCCTTTTTTAACGTTTCGGACGTAAGTAAAAAATGGAAAAAAACCCCAAAAATTTTGACCTTTTTCACCATTTAGACGATAAAATTTTTTTTTTCGTCAAGTTTGGCATTTTTCCATCTATGCTAGAACACAACAACCCTGAACTTGGTTTGAGGTCCCTAGGCAACCTAACTGGTTTTCTTCACTATAGTTTACAGAAAGAAAATTGCTGCATGCATATCGTCCAAATACTCCAAATAATCTATTCCATACACTTCAACTTTTTCCTCCTGTTAAAATACTATGGAAGGTTTTTTCCATTCGTCGACAGCTGGACAAAACGATAGCAACTCCTGCAACAGACAACATCCATCTTCACACATGTGGAATACGTGCCCTTTTGTTTGACATTTAAATTTTCCATCGTAGAACACACTGTCACTTTTTGACTTCTCCTTAGTTTAGGAAATTGCTATATTGTCCAGACTTCAAATAATCTATTCCATACACTTCAGTTAAAATACTACAGAAGGTTCACTTGACTCAACACTTTCGCTGGACATCTGAACTGGACTGTGGACTTACATGCCAACTTAACCTACATGGACGCTACTTTTAACATTTAGACACAGTTATAGTATCTAGATCTTCTAGCCAGTCAGTATTCTTCAATTTACTTAATTTTGCCTCCATTTCTCGATTCATTCTTTGTTCATGTTCCTTTAATCCAAACATGTACTTTTGTATGTGATATAAATAAATTTTGTATTAATTTTAAGTTTGTCATTTGTTGTCCTCTTGTTGCCCTGTCAGATTTCACTTTTTTCTTTCTTTCTAAAATGTTAGTGGGCCACTTGTGACTCATACTTATTTGGGGTGCACAGGCCATGTTATATCACACACACTCCAGGGGGTTCACTACACCTCCTTCAAGGCAAGTTAATTGAATAGGGAAAAGAAGTAGGACATTAACTAAAATCATACTTTTAAAAATTGTTTTCTTGCAAGTTACCTGAATTGGCATACACCTGATGGAGGCCAAAGGGTACAACGGCCAAAACATTGTGATAATAACAACAATGAAGACAATTGTCCAGAAAGAGACCTTGGTGGCACAATTTTCAAGGGGGACATTAACAATTTCACTTTCAAGGGGGACATTAACAATTTCACTCTCAAGGGGGACATTAACAATTTCACTCTCAAGGGGGACATTAAAAATTTCACTCTAAAGGTCATTGCAAAGAAAATCCTAAAATGAATCTCAATCAGCATCATTAATATAAAGGTATCTTGTGAATAAGGGTTCTTACCTAATAGACAAGCTGAAAGAAATATCTACAGACACTACTGAGAGGTCAGAGTGGCCAAGAGGACAGAGTTGCAAAGTGTAACAAGTGTCCAGAAAGGAGGTAGGGAATAGATCAAGTAAAGAAGCATGTCCATCAGATATAACTAGGAAGATGATTGTGGTGGACGGCCACACTTCTAGATACTTTTACACTGATGCAGGATTCTCCCAGAACCTATGCTATGTTTTTTTTTTATTTTCATCAACAATCTTCTCAATGTCATCAGTTCCAAACTTGGTATTTATGCTGATGGCACAACTATTTACTCATCTTAATAGTAAGTCCAATACAAAATAAAACTGGCAGCTACTCATGAAAACACTCAGTAATCCCTTTGTGTCTTAGTGGCTTTATCACCTTACTTGGGGTGTGATGAATTTTAAAAAATTGGGCGTATCTGCATGAAAGAAGTATTGGGGAGAGAAATAACTTTAAACAAAAGTTTGATTTGAGGTTTTAGCCAAATAGAAAAAAATGAGGACAAAATGACTGTTTTTTTGCTAATACTAAAAATGGGAATGCTCTGACTGCTTAGGAAATCAGTATTTGAAATCTGGGCTTCAAACACCAAACCTCTGGCTTTGATGGAAAATTCACAACTATTTCAGTTATGAGGCAGGTTCACAAATTTCATCGATATTTACTTTTGGAACCACAAGGCTAGATAAAAAGAAATGGGTTCAGGGAGATTCCTAGAGCAGTTGTTCCAAATTTTTTTTCTCCGAGCTGCATTTTTAGAATGAAAATTTACTCACACCTCACAAAATTTTATGTGAGAAAAAGTACATTTAAAAATAGAAAAAGAGAAGGTTAAAGGGAGATAACTGCGGATTTGAAGTCAGGACATTGTCATTGATAACTTTCTCCTTCAATTTGCAGATCCTAGTTACTATATATTTTTAATACTTGATATAAGGCAAAAATATCACAATGATAAAATCTGTCAATAATTATATACAACTATTTATACTGGGATTCCTGCATGCAATTACAAGTGATTCCTAAAAATATTTAAAATTTTGAAATCATATTTATTTTTGACAGGAATTTTTTGAAACTGTTTCTAAATCATTGTCTTTCAATCATTCCACCTCAAGTGCTATCCTCTTCTACCACACATATTAGGTGAGTGGTACCATTTAGGAACCAGTGTCCTAGAGTAGGGGTGGGCAAACTTTTTGGCTCAAGGGCCACATTGACTTTTAAAAATTGACAGACAGGCTGGGCTAGCACCCGATGCATATATATCAAACATAGACAGAAAAAAGCATTGGAGTATTAATACTTAGATTCACTTTTAGTGGGAATAGTGTTGTTGTTCACCTTTTTTTGCCAGTGCATCGAAGTCTGGTGTTAGTTTTGTTGTGGCAAGTCTCAGAACAGATTTGAGGTGTTCATCACTCAACTGGGATCTTGTTATATTCTGTGCTAATAGGAATATATACTTGAAAAACAAGGTAGATAAAATAAGTAAAGGTTTATTGTAAAAAAACAGTATAAGAATAAAGGTAACAGTATGCAGAAGGTCGTCGCAAGTCTATCCAGTAGTGAGTGCTACTATTGGAAGGTCAGTAGTTCTTGTGTTAGTCTGAGTTGTACTCAACAGATCC